ATATATATATATATATATATATATATATATATATATATATATATATATATATATATAATTATTTTAACTGTGTGTGACTCTATAATTTTATATAATATAACTATATAAAATTATAATATTTATATCTATACAATCTTAGCTTTTCATGAAAACAATTATTTATTTTATCTAAAGAGAAGAATTTAGATTTAATATGTTATTAATGTGCTTGCGGTATCAGATAAATATTTACTATTCTGTAGATATTTTCTCTTTCAATGCAATTACCACTTATGAAATTGTCTGAATCGAACGTAATAATAATCATTAGTAGTAGTACACGCGGAATTTTGTCGCGACTGCATCACGTAGATCTAATTTGCTGTCTTTTCACATCATTACCATATTCGTTGACCAGTAATAAAGATTAAAGATATCACTGAATGTCAACAATTTAATCAAACCAATGATATTCGAAACTCATGTTTCATGTGACATGTATGTGATTTGGATTTATCTTGAATATAATTATAAGACGAGTTCTGACTCGATTATTCTAACTATTTCTATCCTTCTGTCTATAAATTGAAACAACAGATATAACTCAAGCATTTCTTTTTCTTTAAATTATCACCGCTATGAAGGAGACTGCTCTTCTTCATTCGTATCGTGACTCCACGCGGCATTATAGCCAATAATTTGTTTAATTATTTCTGTAAGCGCGGACGGAGCGGATAATCGCGATTCTCTCGTCAACGAGAAATCAAAACAATCACGCTTGGCGCCAGTCCGAGCATAGTGCGTGAAATATTGTATAATGTTTATCTCGTTCTTATTCCAATTATCATATTACATCCATTTGTACTTGTCTAAATGTACTAAGAGCATTTTATTTCCACAGCCAACTGACGTAAAGTAATGTACGATTTTTTGCCTATTTCAAGCGGATATCTGTCGACATCGTTTCATTTTTCCCTTTTTTTCCCCTGCACGATGCATCTACGCACTTATTTATCGCATTGATATCGAATTAGCTTACATCTCTGGTCGTATGATTAATAATGATTATAAATTTCAATCATCAGACGCAAATTGACACGCGCTCTCTTTGCCCTCATACGCGCGTGTGTCCGTTTGTATTGCATATAGATGCAAATTATACATCATTGACTATGCAGAAGATTGTTGCTTTGCAATTGTTGTGAAACTCGTGAATCTGATCGGTGCATGCCTCTAAATTCAACCAAGACTAAGAAAATATACTAAATGGACTCATAAATTTCACAACAACAGTTACTAAGCAGCTTTCTCTATTAAGCACGTAGGCATTGTTAAATTAAATAGTCATTTACGACACGCGATATGCAGAGCGGTATACCGGTGTTATATTTCCGTTGCGCGAAATGCACGTTAGAAAATGCTGTCGAAGGACGACGATCGGCCACGTACACGACACGTAATCGTGTCACAAGATCGCTGTAACTCGATTACGAGGGTTTACAGCGAAAGAATACGGTGACGAAACCGCGAAACACCGCCGTATCCTGAGCTTGTTCTCGCAAACAGGCTTTAACCACGGTTTTACTTGTTATTCCCCTCGTACGATTGCTTTTTTATTGCGCCGTCATTCTGTTTTATCGCGAGCAGCCGAATAGTTGGAAACAATCGCTTATACTGAGGCGATTTCGAAATTCTTGATCGAATGGCAAAAGTGTCCAGTGCGAGATAAACTAGCCGACGATAACGATGGCGACTCTTTTTAATTTTACGTAATAATCTACTCAATACTACGTATGTCTTGTGCCAGTGTATGACGCACGCGAATCTTAATTTGGCAGTCGACCTGGCGGATGCACAGCTACAAGGCGATCGATAAGGCATACATCAAAAACGACACTTCTCCCTTCGCTCCACAAAATCAACAATGAATCGTAAATTTTTCGTTAGACAGGTCTATCGAAACAGATAAATTAAAATAGATAAAATCGTAAAAAGAGACGCTGGAGGTAGAGAAAATACAGAAACAGTTTCGAGTATGTCGCATGTGGCGACGTCGTTTAAAAAAGCTGTAAGACAAAATAAGTTTGTTAAGAATTCATTGAAACTTAAATTATACCTCTTAAAGTATTATCTAATTGCTCGTGCGACTGGAACAAGATGGGCCATTTGCAAGAGTTGAAACTAGGGTTGACATTTTTTATACGTGTTCCTTAAGATTGCTGTGCTATTTGCTATTTTAAATTTTTATTCTTAATTTCTTATAAACTAAAATTAGAATTGTTTTAATATATATATAATTATTTTTTAATATAATTTAATATAATTTTAATATAATTTTTTTATAAACTAAACTTAAGATTATTTTAGTGAAAAATTTCTATGATATTGAAGAAAAATATACTGATATACTTAATTTATACGTATAATAGATATATTAATACACAAATTTCAGAATTATTAACTATTGTATTGGGAAATACAGGGGAAAATTCGTAATTTATAATTTATACTTGAAGAGAGGGAGAGAGAGAGAAATACATATACATATACGTATATTTAAGAAGGTTATAAGGCAAAATAAGTCAAGATTATTATAAGGCAAATTTGTCAAGAAGTCATTAAAACTTGCACTATATATAAATTTATAATTGAATGAAAATTGAATGAGATTACTATGTGATTACTGATGATTACTGATTATTATAACAACTACTATAAGAATGAAAAACTATTATGATATTAAAGTCTAATATATCGACATTATATACAAACTTAAAAAATTATTCACCGTTTAGTTAAAAAAATATAACGGAAAATACAACGATGGGAAGTTTATAATTTATAGCAACACTGGGGAGAGAGAGAGAGAGAGAGAGAGAGAGAGAGAGAGAGAGAGAGAGAGATTATATATATACATCTTCCTATCATCTATGCATCTCTATAGATTGATGTACAAATGAAGCATTAATAAGAAAAATAAAGGAAGTATTTTTCATATTTGCGTAATATTGTGTGTAGGTGTATATATTTGCTCCTTACTTTATTTCAAATTAACACTTATTTAAATAAACTTATTTAAATAAATTAACACTTATTTAAATAATGAGACAAATGTATAGAAACGTAACTTTGTTAGTAATTTTGCTCAGTAAGCTCTTACGAGTGGTTCCCTCGATATGCCACTAAAAATACGACACTGAACCGTCCAACTTTCTCAACAGCAGCGAAGAAGTCTTACTTTACGCGAGTTGAGGAGCGTGATGCGACGTCTCTAGACACGCGCGTGTCGTGACAAAAGGAAAGAAAGGAAGAAGAAAACCTCTCCATCTTTCAATTTTTCGAGGCCACTGACTCCATAAACCGCGGAGTATACGCAACATCTGAGCGCGCGTGTTTCCCCAATCGCTCTCAATCCTCCCTCTCATCATCATCGTCGTTGTTGTTGTCGTCGTCGTCGTCGTCGTCGTTGTCATCGTCGTCGTCGTCGTCGTCATCATCTCCGTCATCGTTGTCGTCGTCGTCAACTTCATAGGTCTTCTTCCTTCCTTGTCCGCTTCGTGCGCTTCGAAAAACGATCGTGTCTGCAAGGCGCCTTAGCATTTTTTGTATCGTTCGCTCCGATAACATGGTAGACGATAACGTTCGGGCTAAGCCAAAGCAATAAATGCTGGAACTTTGCACTCGTGCGCACAGTGTCCGTCACCATCGTTCCCTTACTACGGCCGGTTCGCGCGCGAATTCCTCGTCGTTCGCCGTCAAATGTGCGAAGCCTCGCGACGCTCGTCGCTAGCAAAACTACGAAGACCGTGAAGTGTCATCTTCGAACGGCTCGCGCGATTACAAATTGGGGCACGGCGCGATATCGATATGTGTCGTGGCTGCGTAGAACGGAGGACAACGTCCTGCACGAGCTGACAAGCTCTCTTGGTTCCCTCGTTGCTTTATTGCAATTGAGATTAATTTGAGCTTCGATACGGTCTCGTGAGAAATAAACCGTGCTTCCAGATCCTTATTGAGGCCATAAATCGAAGAGACTTTCATTAATCTCGTAACTTACCGCTTAAATCTATATTCGGAAATACACGATAGAGAGAGAAAGGGAGAGAGTGCAGTGCTATTAAAAGCCCGATCGGGCACGGACACGAGCGAGTTCGATCGAGCTTCCATTCGATTCTCGAAGGGCAAACATGCTGGACCGAAATGTAGTGCTCGTACTGCGCACAAGGCAGGAAAGAACGGAGAGGCGTTTGAGGCACAACAAAGAAGCCAATCCGCCACCCATGGAACCGCCCGCGTTGTTGTTGAATCACAATTACTTGTACATCGATCTAAATATGAATTTCAGCGAGAATTGCAAGCAAGAAACCGTGAAGACCGCGAGAAAGGTGGGTGCACTCCTCGAGCATGCAAATCGCGCCGATTGCGAGCTGTGCGCGCGCGCGCGCGACGAACGCACAAGGTGCATCATAACAGTTTCTCACGGAAACATCGTTCGCGTGTGTCGGATACAATTTTCTTGGCGCGCGAGTTGGTATAATTATCGGGAGAAGTACTTTCTCCGACTTGCGCGCGCGCACGCACGCTGCAACGCCATATTATCGCGACGAGAAGATCTGCTCCATTCTGCTCCGCTCTGTTCTAAGCGCGCGGAAGGACGATACACAATTACATTAGATATGTGTAATTCGTTACCAACCAGCGGAACGTCGGTTTTGCCTCCAACGTTGCGTCATACACGTTACATTGCATTGGAAATGCAAAAGACCGCTTCCTCTTCCGCCATTTTTCACGCGTACTTGCGTTAAATCGCAGGAACAATTCAACCCTTTGAAGCATAGAATCTTCAAAATTCGGGTTCTAATAAAATATTTATATCTAGAACGACAACCAAGAGATTATTCTTTTTGAAATTAATTTTTTTATCTTTTCTATTTTCCTATTTTTACAGAATAGGGGTGGTTTCATGCAATAGAATATTTCCATTTCTAATCGTTCTTTGCTTTTTATCTTGTGCTCTTTTAAAAAATGGTAGAGTGCATGGCTGCACTATGCACAGGCTGAGCAGTGGTTTCGTTGCGAGATCAATAACTGAAGCTATGATTTGGTTCTGATAGATGATTTCACGGTGAAACAACTGTGCTTCAAAGGGAGAGCACCAATGCTCGGACACGTGCTTAAAATTCTGGATATTTTTACCTTTGGTCTTACATATGAATATTTACATACGAATATTTAAATTTTCAACATAAAAAATATACACATTGAATATACACACTGCCGGTCAAAAGTTTTTAATCATTCTTGCTGATTTTTCATAAGGGCGAATCTTTTGATACGTTCTCATGCGATTTGGTTGGTTGTTACATGAACTGTGAACTGTGAATTTCAAAAAAGAACAAAAATATTAAAACTGTCGTAAAACTTTTTCTTTCATCAAATTCGTCTATTGCTTAATTTACGTAGTGATTCCTAATTTTTGACCGGTAGTGTGCATATATTTTATGTTATATAAATTAAAATATTTGTATTTAAAGACCAAAACAATGCAAATGTTTATAATTGGGTACGCGCGTGTCCGAGAATTGATACTTTTACCTTAATTTCTTTTCTGTCTTTTTTTTAAAGAACGGGATACTCGTGCATATGGCATTGAATAGAGAAGTAAGGGATTGTTTGAACTTTCGCATTTGTAGTTTCATCTTACGACTCGGTGTCGTTCGTAAAAGACACTTAATCACAACGCACGTATTGTGTGATCCGAGAAAAAAGATTCCCGCTGGCTCTTGCAAACGCAGACGCAGACGGCGAGTGTAAGAACGCCATGAATATCTAAGACTGTTGACCAACGAGATGCTTTTTCGTCGCGATTTCTCTCTTATACGACTTGCCTTACATCGACACTACCTCACATCGGCAGTGGCTTTCGTTACGCGATCATATGCATTTCTTTGTCTGCGTATCATTTTTGACAGCAGACTGTCACGTTGCATAATTTAATGACATAAATAACACCTACATCCGTAAGACAATTGTGCGTGGACGATGGTCATCTAGATTGATCGTCTAGGAATCACGCTCGATGATCCTCGCCCTGCGATTGTTCGCAGTCATTATACGCACGGAGGCGCGTTGACTCATTTCACGCGCATTAACCGTGAACGATATCTTGAACATTTAATTACGGACGACAAGATATGAATCGGAATGTCATTACAACAGCTCTATCGCAGACAAGGGATAACTCATTCAGATATATTTTTGTTCACAAATATTCCGCTGGCACTTCCCTGGTAAAAATGTCATACGCAATTTGCGTAGATGTTCTTCCAATTATTGTCTAGTGTTAATACATTATCATTAATTGTAACAATACTGTGCAAAAACTTGATAGGGTTTTATTCAGTGGTTGAAGCAATTTACTGTACAATATCGATATTCTTCTCCCGAAAGTAGTATCAGTATTAATTCAGTTTTATAATGTGTACGTATCATGATATTTATTATAAACGTGAATAAGTTTAAAACATATTTATTAAAGAAGAGACTAAAATTGCACAAACAACGAGCGAAAAGCACGTAGAAAAGCATAGACAAAGAAAACTAAAGATGTTTGACAATGTTAAGTTTTAATAGAGATAACAACTAAAATTAGAAATAAAAGTGAGCAAAAAAGATAAATGAAGTACATATCAATTATACAGAATTTTATTACGACAAAAACACATCAGGCTATTTTGATGGTGATGATATAAATGAAAACTGTCATAACAGCTCGGGCTCAGAACCTGATGAAATGGTACAACCACAAGAATGAATAAAAGAACATGTGTCACTTGATAATTGTGAAATATGTCACGTAAAAGGGGAGAAACATAAAAATATATATTACACTCTAAATATGTCACGTAAAAGGGGAGAAACATAAAAATATATATTACACTCTAAATTTCTTGGAGTAAGACTTCACTTCAAAGTAGTGAAAATTGCGCCAGTCGAAGTTAGAGCGAAAACTTCACTCCAAACGAGTGAAAAAATTGCTCGCTGGGGATGAGTTCTCACTCGTTTGGAGTAAAATTCTCGCTCTAACTTCGACTGGCGCAATTTTCACTACCTTGGAGTGAAATCTCACTCCAAGAAATTTAAAGTGTACGCAGCAAAGATTCCCTGCGCTATAGGACTCTTATTAGCATTAAGGTTTCTCAATTAGCAAACGTGTAAAGAAAATGAAATACTATTGGGACAAATCTGCCTAGTTTATGGACATTTTGAGTAGCAGACTTGATTATTAATTAATTCATTCATTATTAATTAATTTCTCGTTCTGTTTTCCTGTTCCTGTTCTGTTTTCGTTTAATAAATGTGTTCAAGTGTCGCGCATCATTCGTGTGCAATAACTGTAGGAAAAGCGTTACACCTCGATTGTTGAAAAGTTTCATTCTTCTTCTTTCATCTAGGACAAAAGTTAACACAATTGTCAAGTATAACTGCTCGAGGACTACACTAAACTTCTACCGGGATTAGCGGGGAAAAAGAAGAAAGAAATTTATGAACCTTTTGTTGTTTCGAGCTTACGCTTATCTCGGACGTTTCGATGAATATCGTTAACTCGAATAAACATTCATGTGCCGGTCACGCGTCAACGAGCAAAAAGTCGAAAGACCATAAAGATACACACGCATATTGCGTGCGACTCAAAAGTCTGCGCTGAAGAAACAACGCGCTCATAATCGCGCGTAGGCAATTAAGATTAGGAACTGAAAAGTTCGCTCTAATCTACGCATTAGCGGCATATTACCGCATTATTTCTTTATCCGCCATCGTCAGCCGATTCTCAGCGGTTTATCAACGGCTGATCCATCGCTCGGTTAATTAATTGCCAGAATAACGACGCAGAGACACAAAGGCTTAATTGGAGGACCAAAAGCGCCTGCGAAACGCCTTAATTATATCAGATACGTTCGCGCTCCGCGACGAAACGCGTTTGAGTCTCGTTGAGTCTTGTTGAATCTTGTGTTCCTAAGGAGCGTCGGAATCGGTGAATCTCAGCGGTCTGGTGAGCTTTCCTTGATCGTATCATCAAGTCGCTCGATTTTGCTCAAGTTTCGCACGCGCGCACGTGCGTGCGATCAGAGAATCCAAACGATCTCTCGACAAACAACCGCGTGCACTTTGCAAGCGTTTGAACAGCCGCGTGTCGTTACTCGTCCGAGGGTTAAAAGTCGATGATGAAATTCGCGAGCACGATTTCGCGATACGCACCATTCCAGCCGCGTGTAGAAATCTTCTAATGTACAATTCGCTTGTTCACACATTCGCTTACGCTTATCATTGCGCTTATCGTGCCGTGAATTTTACGTAATGCCGTATTGCGAGCGTCTAGTCTAATTAAAACTTAAAACTGTGAAAAACGATCCAGACGGACAGGTATCACGGCAACTACTTTACTAGAGGATTTGGAAAAGGTTACATCCTTTATAAGTGGCTTATACAGTATTCACATTTACCACAAAGAATGACAATAAAATAGATATATATAAATAGAATGAATGAAAATAGATATATGAACAAAATTATTAAAATATTTGCTGCGAAAAGTATTATATAAATAATGTATCGTGTGATAAATGTACTGTGAAAGTCTGAGTGTAACTTTAGTAAATCTGTCGCTCTGCGTCAGTATAACAAAAAATTACACTATTGTGCGATGTAAGTTTAATGATTAATTCAGTAAGGCATATTTGCTTCGTAAATGTAATTAAAGGAATTGTAAAGTTTCCATAAAGATCTGCCTGAGGTGAGGAATAACCGAAATAAACAGAAGTACGTAAATTTGGCAGCAATTTTATTAGTTGATTTATTAGTTGAAGGGTTACATTCTTTGTTAATAGTGTATATAGTCTTATATCTTTTACATAAAATGAGGAGAAAGAAGTACAAAGAATTGTTACAATTTGTCTCAGATAATGCATCACATAAAATGTGCTGTAAAGAACTGAGTGTAACTTTAGTAAATCTGTTTCTGCATCAATGTAACAAAATAACGTTATCTTGTGACGTAAATTCAACGCTTACTTACAATACAATATATTTGCTTCGTAAATGTAATTAAAAACCGTAAAGTTTTCTTCATCACGCAATGTGTCTCACGTCGTGATAGTCATGAAAGTTGATCTGGGGATACACAGGTGACGAAAGCATTGTGGCGAGTCGCACACTCACACATCCGCGAAATCCACGCAAACCCACAGACATCGTTGCACGATATTGTCACATACGGTTATATATTCAACCGCACGCATTCGAAGGTGCGCTCGAGAAGGTACATAAGAAGTAACTGATATATAAATACATGTACACATATAAGCGCAGCGCGAACGCACATTCTTAACATTCGAAAGATATAGGACCGGCATGTACTTGTACGCACACAGATCGCGAAATGCTCATATGGTGGGGGATACTTGCATGCCCCACCTCCTCTCAGCCTCTTATATTTTTATATCAACATTTAGTACGGCTCAGGACACCGTTGAGCTTGCAGTTCCTTCGGTTACCTTGTAGTTCTGGCCTTCTGTCGTAACGCGCGTCTCTTTCTCCGCTTTCGTTAATTTACCGATCGCGCAAATCGATCGGTCGAAAATATTGGTATCCAATATTTTAATCATTGCGCAAAGCGGCATGTGTCAAACGTGATAATTTAGTGCGTGGTCGCATGGTGACGCGCGTGAACTTCAGAAGAGGAGTGCAAGTGGTCGCTCAGTGGCGTGGTGGAGATAAACGACGCGAGATAAACGTAATGTATCACGGCTAAAGAGCTATCTAACATCCACCCCTGTCTCTTTTTTTATATTTCCTTGTTTACTGCTACTACGTTCGTGCCGATTCTCCGAATTCTCCACTTGATATCGTCTTAAAAACATCGGAGAAACAAACGGTGCTCTCTCGCCTTTTCCTGAACCTACCACATCCATGATAATCAAAGATCATCTCGATTCATCGATCAACATTTGGACGATTCAATCGCCGAGACTTCTCTTCGATCCCCAGGCTTAACTGCAAATGGCTTTTGGCACCCTAGTCCTTAGCCAACATCAATAAGGCTTCTCCATTTCGAGAAAACGTCGCCGTTCTGTCGCGTGAAAATATTCCACACGACCAGGAAGCGCGAGGGTGACAGAGAAGAGCCAAGAAACAAAAAGGGGACGAATTATCCGTTCGTGGCGGATCGAACCCGGTTCGAGTAGTCGTGGGGTTTCCGCGAGCGACTGGGAAGCCACGTAGTGGTCTTCGCGACCGAAAGGAAAGCGAGACAGGAGAGGCAGGAGACGCTCTCACACGAAATCATCGGCCCTTCGGCCTCTATCAACCCTTTCTCTCCCGATCCATCTGTCCCCCATTCGTCGCGTTTCCTAACGAATCGCGACGCGCGCGAACTCTCCCTCGTCCTTTCCTTTCACGGCACGGCCATGGATCGCAACGAAAGCACGAACGAGGGTGGCAGCTCGCCCGACACAGTGATCGCGCGTTCCTCGTCGGAGGAGGAGAAGCAGAAACGTCAGGCCAGTACTTCTGGCGAATACATCACCGTCGGCGATAGCAGCTCCAGTTTGGACACCTTGACGAGCGGCAGCGCCGGCGTCGCGATCCTCTCCAGCAGCGTTAACACGGACGACCGCAAGAGGGGCAAATTCGGCGCGTTCAAGAGCAGCCTCCGAGAGGGTGGCATATTCAAGATCAAGAAGAGGCCGCGACCGAGCGAGACCGACGCGTCCGCCGAGGCGCACCCGGAACAGGATGACAAAGGTTAACTCGATCAAGCCGACACGGACTTTGACACTCTGTCGCGCGCGTATGTGAGATAATTAAACGGTAGATATCGTCGGTCCGTGCGTTTGTCACTTCTCGGCGATGCGAACGAGGAGCACACGAGTCGCGAATACGTCGTTGGACATGGAACGGTCTGCGAGTTACTGGAATCAAAGATTGCTTCCTCTTCACGCTTATTTTTTTACCTTTGTTTAGCGTTATTAACTCTTACGGTGAGTAAGTACTTGCGGCACCTTGACGGTGAAAGGGGAGTCACTCATGTCCGACGCATTTTCTCGCTAACTTCAAATTGTTGAAAAATTCTGAACAAATTCGTGTAGTTTCTTCAAACTTCAACTAATAGATTATGTCATTAAAGTTGTATATTTTTTAAATTGTTTATTGAATAAGAATCTATAAAGGAACTTCTTTATTTAAAAAATTAACTTTTGTTATTTTTCTTAAAAGGAAGAAAAGATCTGGTGTTTTATATTTAAGACCGTAAAACTTGATTAAAAAATGGTTTATTAATGACATTTGGAAAAAATTGAAATATGTGAAAACTTGGCATATGTAAAAACAGTTTTTGTGTAAGAAAATAAGATAGCAAAAAACATTTTTACATATTATACAAAGATAAAACAAACAAGAAGCATAAGAAATCGGAGAAGAAACATACACGGAAGGAATAGTATACTTTGTCCACACATAAATTTTGTTGTGCTGATCAGACAGCTATTCAGACAGTAACTGATGAATTTTATCGCTAATGAGTCTTTTAAGTGCCCTTGAAATACCTGTACTAACTCTTTTTTAGAGTACATGCAACTATGAAGCTAATTTTTTTGGAGTACATATATGGTTATGAAGTGTTAGAAATTTCTGAGATGAGGAAACATGCAAGTTATTGAAAGCGTCCGGACACGAATGACCTGTCGCTTTATGGGTTCGCTTTACGTTAATTCCGAAAGTAGTGATCCAAACGAAACGCGTTTTAGAAAGATTCTCTTCGCTCGCGCGTGTACGAGGGTAATAGTTCTCCAGTTTTCCTTGATTCGCGATCCTGTTCCGCTTCAGAGGTGTCTCGGCAGCAATCGCAGCAGCTCGAGGGCGCGAAAGAGCAAAAGCCGACAACAGCCATCGACGCGGTCTCGGCCGCAGCCTTGAAGAAAAAGAAGAAGAAGAAGTCGCACTCGCTGGTGCGCAAACTGAGCTTGAACAAATTCCGTCTGTCCTCGGAGCAAGAGTCGCGACAGACGCCCCCAGAAGGTGACAATAATAGCCGGTCGCAATCCTCGCAAGAGTCGCCCGTGCACTCGTACGGCCCGACCGGGATCGGGAAGAAGGGGCAGGAGGACGACGCTCAGGAAAGGGAAAAGGCTAAGGGGGAGCTTAAGAAATCGGAAAAGCTGCTCGAGAAACCGACGAAGACCGTCACCGTAGTGCAACGTAGTTCGCCGTCGTTGACCATCAGGAGCTTCTTAAGTACCGTGCAGCAGCAACAGCAGGGTGAGGTCACGTTGACTACGCTACGACAGATGAAGTCTGCATTGCAACCCTCCTACGAAAATTATTCGCGAGATCAAAACATGGAGGACATTGCTTAGTATTTAGTTCCAACGACGGCGTAATGTCACTTTAACACTAGAATGTCCAGGAACGACAATCTCCTTTGGATGCTCGAAAGAGTCATTTTGACTTCTTGCGATTCTAATATTTTATAAAACTCTTTCTCTCTCTGCTCCTCATTATTCGTGTCAATGACTTCTGAACATGCTGAGAACATAATTTGCGAAATATAGACATTTTAAATTGTAAACAGATTACAATCATATATCATGATTGTTATTTACTCGTCCGCTATAATTTATACAAGAAGACTGGTAAATGAGAAAATATACTTATGGGATTAAAAACTTATGGGATTAAAAAACTAAAATCTTAAACAATAGTTTATATATTGTCTTTATATAACATCAACACTTAAACAAATAATTCCCTTGAACGCTCAAAAGGTAAATCATGAAATAATTCATCGATTTCTTTTGTTATATTTTCAGCGTGTTCTATTTTAAAAATAACCGAAAATCATGAGAGATATTTTCCTAAACCATGAGAAACAAAAATGACGACAACAAGAAGACCTTTATGGAGTCGAAGTGACTTCATCGGGCATTCTGATGTTATTCATTCCTCATTATTAATTCAGCGTACTTGAATATTAACTTACTCCTCTCCCTTCTCTCTTTTCTTTTTTTAAATTTTTGTGTTTTTTTCTATGTAAACACCTTTTCACTGCATATCGTCACTTATGTAGAGATCCTTGTCTTATTCCATTCACGATAACTGCTCGCAGTAACGAGTTCAGAGCAGTCTTGGATTGCTTTCGGATTCCTCAAATATTTCATCTATATTTCTATATTTAGAATGATCGATATGTACAAGGACGTTCTTTATTTTTGGAATCAATTAGATCAACATTTGATCGCAAACGCTGTTACGAGCGTCACGAGCGAGAGCCGCTCGAAATTGTGCGGAAGCCTGAGAATAATCGCGCTCACCATGAGAGCACTCTTTCCCAAACTTGTCACATGCATTCCCTTGCGCAGACAACGAGCAAGATCGACAGCAAGAGCAGCAAGATAACACTTCACCTCGTTCCAACGTGCAATGCAGTTCGACGCTTCCGTACGCGTTGTCGAGATGGCCAGAACATAGTGAGACGAAGTTCGCGGAGGACGTGACCAGGAAGAGCAAGCTGAGGACAAAATCCGATTCGGAGTCGTCGGTGGCGTCGAAGTCGTCGCCCGTCGAGGTTCGCCGTAAGCTATCCTTGCTGGAAGAGAAGCGAGCGATATTTCAGCGACGGTTCTTTGACTCGACCAAAGATACGCATTCAGACGACACGGTAATCGTCGCTCCCGTGGACGGTGATAGACCTAGCGCCACCGGCGAGTCACTCGAACGGCGAGAGGAAGAGAGGAAGAAGAAGGCGCGGCAGATCAGCGTGAGGACCTTCGACACGTTCTCCACTTTCGACGGTAGTTTCGACGAAGACACGGAATTGGGTTACTTGCGCGGCATCGAGGAGGATTACACGGAGAGCTACGACAGAGACGACGACAAATACTCTAGCTTTCACGCCACCATGGCACCGATGATAGGAGCCGTGGAGCATCCTGAGAAGGTGAGACCCTGCACGGCGACGCCATGGGAGTATCTCCCATTAATGCCACATCCAATGTTTTGCGACACCGTGTGGTGATATTGAATTGCGTATCACGATGACAGGTACTGTATGAGCGAAGCTTGATGACGGCGGAAATGCGATAGCCCGAATCATACTCGGTGTCTCGCACGGTCTCCACGTTGGCACACTCACGCACGTGTAAACGAACTGTTCAGCACGTGTTTCTAAGGAATTAGTATCAATAAAAGCAACAAGTAAACCGTTAATCCACCAAATCTGAGTGAATTTTAAGATGGAGTTATCGCTAGATATTTGCTGTATTTTTATTTTGCTGTGTTTTCAGTGGCACATCAAGGATGCCACTTATAAATTCATTATTTTAAACAAAACTGCGTTTTTCTACACATTTATTTCACTATCTAAGTATCATTGTTAATTTGAAACGAGTACTTGAGATACATATATATATTACATGTATATACATATATATATATATATATATATATATATATATATTACAAAAACGAAAAAATTAACATTTTCTATTTTTGTACACTTTATTTATGTATCAATTAGTTAATAGAAATGTACAGATCTTAGAAGTATAGAAGTATTTAAACATTTGTATATGCATATATATTTCAAGTATTAATATAAATTATGAACTTTCTCTCTACCGCTGTATGTTGAAAACAAAAAAAATGGTCAATAATTTCGAAATTCTATATATTAGTATAATATCTATATATTAGTCTTCAATATCATCGTAGTTTTTTTATAAAAATTTCATATATAGTTTAGAAAAGATATTAGAAACATAAATTAAAAATAACACAAAAAATACGTACAAAAAGTATCAACTTTAGTTGCGAAAATCTCAGTTCTTGAATTGTCAATCTCTTTCTAATTGCATAAGCAGTTAGATATTATAATATTTCATTGTGTATGTAGGGCAAGTTTCATAAAATTCTCATGAAACTCGTTTCATGATTGAACTACCTGAAAGCTTTGGGATACTCGCCGCAGTCATGTTGGATCGTGACGTCGAAGACGAGAAATGACATGCTGAAAATTCTTGCGTGTCATTTTCAAATAAAAGGATACTTGAGTGAAAGAACACCTAAGATCGCTTGAGCATACTTATAAAATGCTCCGCAAACCATCCTTTTCCGTTGACAGTCAATAAATAACCGCAGAATTACCGTGGCGAAATCGTGAGAAAAGGCAATTTAAAGAGGAAGATTGCATGCCAGGTTAATTTTACGGTTACTTATTGACTGTCAAGGGAAAAAGATAGTCTTCGGAGTATTTTACAGGTATACTCAAGCGACCTCAAGTGTTTCTTCATACAAATATCTGTTTATTTGAAAATGGCGCTCAAGAATTTTGGGCACGCGCTTTCTCGCTTCTGATGTTGCCAATCAAGAATTCCGCGATGGGGGGTATTATAAATGTTAAAACAATTTTAAGAGAAGCGCGCAGTAAACTTTATGTTATATGCATATAACGTCATTAAACGCAGCTTTACGTTACATGCATATAACGTCATATAACGTCATTTGTAGAAGAGAGATCTCACGTCTTGACCAAAGTGTTGCATTAGATGGGAGATCGAATGTATTAGATAATTAACTAGTAACTCCACACTGAGGAAGAAATATTTAAAAATACAAAATATTTATTCAGTGAGTTCTAATTATATATTACGCACTTACTTGTACTTATACATATATTTTTTGCACTAAGAAAACATTTCTTTTGCAAACGAAAAAATATAATATTTTCTTAAAATTATAGTCTCTCGCGCGTGAAAGTAATTAGACAGCAATTGCTTGTTTTATGTTGAAATAAAAGGAAATTTTGAGTTAAACGAATATGTTATTAGTTATTTAAATAAATATTTCTTACTTTTTAGATATTTCTTCTTTTCAATGCACGACTGACGTAAGCACACGCTACGATTCTTTCCTGATACCGATCCGTTCGCACTCTCGTTTCTGCCTCTTTGGATCTCCTGCGCTCTCGTCTGTTACGGAGTCTCGAGTTACGTGGTTTTGCGTGTTCTGTCGCGCCACGCCTGTGTCTGAGGAAAAATTTTCGCACGGGACAAATCGGCGCGTATAGACAGAACCGAGGATAAGATTAATCGAGACAAGAACTAAAATTAGGTAGCTGATGGTTTCCTTCGAGCCGAATAATTCACCTCAATGACCTGTCATTTCATATCCGCAGCGGAGATTTTCAAAGCTCGAACTCTGTACTCTCCGATTGCTCGGATGTATGATAATACGCTCGTCGGCATGGCGAAGACTCGTATTGTCGTACATACACATAGTTCTCTCGCAGCCCCTCGTGCTCGAGGATAACTTTGGCGCGTCGTGAGTCGGTTATTCCATTTCGTTCGCGCAAGCTGCGGCTGTAGGATTATTGGAAGAGTGCGAGAGCCATTAGTCGTCCTCACCTCTCAGTGTCGTGCGCACGATAAACGACGTCTAGCCCCATGAACATGAGCTTGAAAGTTTGGCGGAACTTCGAGACGATCGATTTAGGCAAGTGGAAAGTACAGCCGAAGAAATGGATGCAGGTCGCAAAGGTTCGTGTGCCACACACAGATTTATTTGTGATTTTATCGCGTCTGCGATGCCACGAATCTTCCATGTGCAAAACAGTTCTATTTCATCGTCACAGAAGGCACGCACGACTTATCGTGTCTTACGAACAATAGTTGTTTGGTTAAGTCTGCTCTTGAACGTCGTGTCATTCAACCAAATGCATAATTCGAGATGCCGTTTCTCAAGTCTCTCGTTGAGATTCTTGTATAGAGTTACCAATCAACTCATCAAAATAAACAGAGAGAGCTGTCAGCAAATATTGGATCCGTAAGCCATTTTGTTTCAGAAGTCATATTTATTATCGAACACTTCTCATAATAAATGAAAACATTTTTATTGTACAACTGTTTAACGTGTGACATACATTTAGCAAGATTTTGTTGTTCACGATACTTTGATGATTGCTACATAAAGTGTAGTGTTTGAGGGGAATTTTATATGGAGTAAAAATTACTATATGATCGACATTACTATAAGATCGACATTCTGCAGTAATTTATTATTCGTTCATTTCATATTTGCGGTTTGCATTTTAGGAGTGAAAAACGTGCTATTAAAAAAACTTACTATGTTCTCATGTTATAGAAAATTTTGTGTTAAATTTAACATATTTCACAGATTCCAACTTATTCGTTCTAATTTTAATTTAACACATGGCAAATATGTTAACAAATTATGTTAGAATATGTTAAGATAATAACACACACAACTTATCTATGCACTTTACATATAAAATATGTCATCATATATCGTGTTATTTTATATTGTGTTACACTTAGAAATGATAAATATGAATCTCAATCAGAGATTCTCTCTCTCTTTTATGTCTTAGCTCTCTCGATGTAATTTTTAAAACAGAATTTATGCGTTCAAAAGTCTCTAATATTTTCTCGTTTTTCTTTTCGCAGTCGTCGAATAATGCGCCGAATCTCGGAGTAGGCGAGAAACGGGAGCACTTGTACAAAATACTAGTAATCGGCGAGCTCGGGGCGGGGAAAACATCTATCATCAAGCGATACGTTCATCAATTCTTCTCTCAACATTATCGCGCTACGATTGGTGTCGACTTTGCGCTCAAAGTGCTAAACTGGGATCCGCACACCATCATCAGGCTACAGTTATGGGATATCGCAGGTCAGTCGCAATTCATAACGCTCTCTCAGTAACTAATAATAGACCACAATACTCTCGTGCGATAGATAAATTAACATTTTAATGTTTCATACGCGTCACGCCAAGAGCGCAATTTCCCTCATCTCTTGTTTCTTGTTTACTTTAAAAATACTTCAGATAACTCGAGCGCTCCTAAACTCGTGCGATTATCAGTTCGAACTATACTCGAGTTGTCACGTGGTTTCGTATAATACTCAGTTACAGTTCTTTGTTACATCTGTTACGACTGTTATTCATCCACTGCAAAAAGATTCGATGGTAAATTTAACACATTTCGTATGTCTCAATTTAAATTTTATCCGCTTTAAGTTTTGCGTTAATTTAACAAAAGGCAAATGTGTTAACGAATAACACAACTTATCTGTATACTTCACGTACAAAATATGTCACCAAGAATGTACGTGTCACATACAGATTGTTATTTTAACACTTAGAAATGGTGGATATGAATTCAACAATAGCCGCAACAATACAACGGCAATATGTTAAATTAACACATGGGTATATTGAAAATTTAACACAGAATTTTCTACGGATCGATTTTAATACAAAATACAAATGTTTTTTTTTATGGTGTATAAATATTATATTATGACACAATTCTCAATATTCAGTAAGAATATTTTATTAACTCGCACACATATACTAAGTTTCATTTAATGCGCAGGTCAGGAGAGATTCGGAAATATGACCAGAGTTTACTACAAGGAAGCCGTAGGTGCCTTCATAGTCTTCGACGTGACGAGAAGCGCAACATTGGACGCGGTGGTAAAGTGGAAACAAGACCTCGATTCGAAAGTGCAGCTACCTGACGGATCGCCGATACCGTGTGTCTTGCTGGCGAACAAGTGCGACCAACACAAAGAAGGTTTAGTTAACTCGCCCAACAAGATGGACGAATATTGCAAGGAGAAAAACTTCTCCGGTTGGTTCGAGACGTCCGCGAAAGAGAACATTAATATCGAGGAAGCAGCTCGGTTCCTCGTTAACAAAGTAAGAGATGTTCTGTTATTTTTCACGTCATAAATCTCGGAAAGGGTCTGTTAAAAATCAAATGTATAATCGTAATCGAGATTGGAATCCTCCCCAGAAAATCAAAAGACAAAATGAAAGGAGGAATACAATTCATTTGGAGGCTTCGCGTCTTATAATCGCTCACTTTTACTACGCTTATCACACTTACGCATGACGTACAACGGATTTATCAGTGACGTCTTTCGTGCTAAAGACGATTGACTTATGATGCATAATTAATTAATCGACGTACAAAGTAATCGGTGCTTCTGGCATCTTGCATTATGCTTGCTCAAAAATTAGTTAAGAATAGCTTCTATATTTACTTTTAGAATCCTGATAAATTTATCAATATTGTCTCCTAATGTTTGAGTCTACAGAATTGTCTCTAATGATATTTTTACCTTCAGAGTTAAATCCATCAATCTGTAACATAATGAAATGAAAATTGCATATATATAATTTGTTATCTTTTTCAATTATTACATTTATAATCAACACTCAAAATAGATACAGTAACCTCATAATTTAACTTTTTACATAGTTTATATTGTCTACATGAAAAGACCGTGTATTCATCATAATAGGCAAAGAACCTGCGTAGACGTAATCTTGAAATCTACGGCTCTTACTTCAAGTATCTCAATCAGAAAATATTCAGATTATAAAATATGCTTTGCTTTAGATACTTCAAAACGACCAGCTTTTGAAAGGGAACGGCTCCCAAGACCAGGCGGATGGCGAGAGATTCACGCTGAATCAATCACCAACGAACACCAAAAAATCTTGTGCCTGCTGACGAATACGCAAATCATCGAACTCAGGTTCGAATCTTCATTTACAATTTTCCATTCATCCTCGTTGTGTCTTCATTTCGACAGATGCCATGAGTATCATAACGTCTTACGCCTTGCCATTCTTCGCAACAGAAAGCCTATTATAACTTGTTCTCAGACAAAAAAGTATCCAATAATGTTCTTTCTTTCAAAGACCATTTGGGCTTGTGTGTCAATTCGGTTATATTACCGAATAGTTTAAGCAGATTTATAGATGTACAGCTATAAGGATTTATAATTTACAGATAATAGCATAATAAATTTTTAAATATCCGTATAAGTAAGACTAGGAGCAAGTAAGTCAATTCCGAGTCCTGCATATAAGAGCAATGCTTAAAATGCATAATAACAATCTTGTTTCGTAAAAAATGAGGGAATATACATGCATACATATACATATACCTGGTATCAATACAACTTGGATACTTTTTTCTCGATGTACTTTGGCACACAGCTAATTGTCTAGCGAGAAAACTTCTGTGAATTAATCAGAAACAAGTCTTCTCATTGAACAACCGACTGCGTTCCAAATTATATTCACAAGAAATGTGTCGAAATCGCATTGAAACCAAGTATTCATACACAATTTATTAATCAAACTTGAATGTCATAGACATAAATCTTTTAATTGAAAATTTAGCTTCTACTCTCCATGGCAGCAAAATATATAAATTCTATTTTAGTTTCTATTTTTTAATCAAGAAAATCACAAAATACTTGTTTGATGATATGTGTGATACAAATTCGTATCTCGTTATTGATAACTATAACAATTTAGAACTGCAATAATATAGGGAAAGAATTGCGTATTTTATTGTTGTTCCAATTTCAAGGTATGCGACACTTAAAAATTTATACTTCAATACAATGTTTGGACCATAACAGTATCTAAACTATGTAATTAGCCATAGCGACAGACACTAAAAGAAGAAAAGGAAATTGTTCCTTTCTTGGTACTGTCGACCTTGTATTTTCGTATTAATATAATGCTCTCTGTGAAGATGAAAGTAAATCTTACGTTATCATTAATCGACTGGACTCTTCACTGTGTAATAATACTTTCGTAATAATCGCGGTTTTGCTGGTAATTCCAGATAAACATCAACTATCAGCAACATAGCATCAGTGTTATAATTTTCACTCAGCACTGTAAATGCAATATAACATGTGTGTTATATAACAATTACACTGTTGAGCAGGAAATTATAACACTGATATAGTGTTACTGTCGATTGATGTTTATTAAGCCGTTTCTATTGCTACATTTTTGCGAACATCGTTACGACGCTTTTTATTGCTTTCAGAATAAGAAAAGAAGGTTAATAGTTACAATTTTCGTATATTTTTTCAAATGTGATTCTGCCTTCTATTTCCGATTTATTGTATGATCACTTATACGAATATATGTTTATATATATTATATTATATATTTTATATTATAACGGATGATATATTACACTTATAATTAAAGTCTCGACACTTGCATTAGTCGTGCAGACACGACGGACACAAACCTTTAATTTCTGATACATTTAACTTTTCTTGTGTGTAATATCGAGCCTGCTTTAATTATAACATTGTACACACGTGCGTCTAAATATTGTAATAGAACACTACATGAATAGACTTATATACACCGCTCTGTTTACTCCGCCCGAAATCGCGCGAACGATTATTATTTCTTAGGATCGCTTTTTTCCCAGAGTCGTTTAAAAGCAAAAATTGAGAATGCTTGATGTTATTCTAGTGAATACCATTTATTATGCCACTCGGACAGCCCAACTGATACATCATCCGGTTAAAAATGTGTTATTTATAACAACGACAAGCTTCCCACCCACACTCCAATTGGTTATGCATTTTGCTTTTTATCTCATCGATTAATTCGAGATGTCGACAACATTGTGCCTTCGTTCGCACAATCGCAGCTAATTACTCGAGGCAACTGATTGTAATTACAGCGTTGTGTTGCGTCCAATGACCGTTTAGATATCACACAATATATCAATTTATATGTACTGATAGCGTCGCAAAGCTTGAATTGAAATGGATGATGAAGATTAAACTGCGAAAAAGAGAGAAGCGAGTATATTCAACGAGCGATATGTTGCTTTGCAACTTCGAAATACGAAAAGATGCGAATATAAAATGTTTTTTGATTGATGCAGATTTATATACAGAATCATATATGTATTCGTATATGTACGCGTGTTAGTGAATAACGCTTAATATATTTGAGAGCTATATAAAAAAGAAGTATGTGTACACATAATTGTAAATAATTCCGATTTTACATGAACTTTTTTCACCATACGAGCGATGTTTGCATATTTGCACTTTTATATACATATATAGAACGATTTGTAATGCGGCGTATGTCGTTATCGTAAAGGAAATTGTAGATACATTACTGTTAACTGTGTTATTTGCAAGAAATTACATATAATCATAACTCCCATATTATTTAAAAATAATAGCAATACGCCTGTCTCTACTTTTAATTCTTTTTGTATAAATGCATTGATACTTGCAACAATATTATAGATGCAACAATATTTAACTGTATTAAATTTGTTTATATCAGGACACATTGTTTGTCGTCATTTACATTTACATCACGTTGTTCCATGCTCAGAAGATTTGGTAGAATTACATACGAAAAATTTACGCGTTATGCGATATAAAACGAAGGAAATTGACAACTTTTTTATATAAGCTGAAATGTGAGAAATTGAATTTTCCGATAAAAGAAACAATACAAGTTCAGATATAGTTAATATTTTAATAAAAAAATTGAATATATTTTAATCACTTTTATCAGCTATTTTTCAGAAGAATTATCAATTTTTGCTTATAAAATTTATCCAAATGTTTTGACTTTTGTAATAGATAAAACCTTAGCGCTAATCTCTTCCTACATTCCAAATATCTGAACTACTTTAGATAACGATGATAAAAACATTAAAAAAGGGATAATAAATGGCAAAGATACGTTAGGTGCAAACCCGGATAGCCAAACCTGCGCGAACAGATTTCGGGTAGAGCTTGCTATCAACTTTTGATGGCAAATAGATAACAAATTTGATGCAGGATCTGTTATATCAAATCTTGCTGCCAAATTGCCGCCAGATATGCGGCAGAGCTTGTTGTCGGATAATTGCTGCAGATTTGCAGTAAAAACCTCGCAGAGTTAGTAGCGATTTGACGGCAGATTGGCGGCAGAAACCGCGCAGGCCTTGCTACGCTGCAAATTTTGCGCGGTTTTTGCTGCAAATTTGACACCAATTGCCCAACAGTAAGATCTGTCGCCAAAATCGTAGCCTAATGTAGACACAGATGGCTATGATTTTGCTGTGGGTTTTTGATCAAATTTGTTGCCAATCTGCGCGCAGTCTGCGCTCAATTTGCTTACTGGGAAGTGCGGTTGAATAAAAAAATGATTTACATTTGTACTTGTTGATAGACAATATTCTTTAACAAAAGACATTATGAATCAATGACATTTTTATTTAGTATTAGCCATTGATAGATGTTATTAGTTTTCATCGTTAATTTCTCACTGAGAAAGAAATACGTGAAAATGTATTTGTAGGAAAGATAAATTCATCCATAGAAATAAACTTTATTTCATAGAAACAAACTTTATTTATCACAAATATTGTTCACTGAAAACCAAATGAGAATACTTCAGAAATGCTAAATTTAACATAGTAAAATCAATATGATATAAAAATTAGTAAATAATAGTCAATTTTCTTATTCAAAAGAACTTAAATCTTATCAGGCGTGTATCTGTATACATTGTACAGTTTTAAAGATGTTAAAATGACTAATGGTGGATTTCCGCATCACTGTACTAGAAAATTTATAAAGAAATTTTGGCATTTCTGAAGTATTTAAGTATTTAATTTCAAAGTGTTTTGTTAATTTTTAATAAGCAAAAGTTACAAAACTAAGCTATGATACAAATAATTAAATAATTGGAGCACAATCATCATCACTAATCGCGAATTACAATTAAAAATGACATATTTCGATTTTTGATAAGTTGAATTTTGATAAAAATGTTATCATCGTATTCACTGACCCAAAAAACATAAGATTACATAACTTATACTTTATAGATCGAAATCAAAACGAGCCATTTTATTTTCGTCGTCCTTTTCGTCCTTTTCATTTTTCTCAGTGCATCTGTTCCAATGGTTCCAAGATGCTCCCTCATTCTCAGGAATTTCCGTCTATATTCTCTTGCGTCGATGACGCATCTCGGTCGGAGGTCGCTGGCGGAAAGAGCAAGATCGGCGCAAAGAGTGGCCGCTCTATAATATGATACGTATATCCGGGGCAACATAACCTCCAAGTGGCGACAGATAACTCGCTATCTACGGATGGACTGTCAATTCCGGTGTGCAGAGGGGCGTGTTTTGCGACCGCAGAAAGAGGCCGGGGAAATTCGTGTAGACTGACCAGAGTCCGCGAATTTCCGCGAGTGAGCGCCGCCGTAGAACGATCGGCCCCGGAGTGTCCTTAATAGAGTCTAATCGGCGACCGCGCCCGTTGGAGCGTTCGCACCGTGTCCGCTGATTCATCGCCGCCGATCCCACGAGACGTCCCGCCTCGCCATCGCCACTCCGCCGTCTTCTCGATTGTCCCGAGGCATTGCTTTCCGCAGGCAGCGAGCGCGAAATGACGGAGGTCCACGGCTTCGGCGTCGATGCCATCAGTTGTCACGCGTGGAACAGAGATAGAACAGGTAACCGGAGCGTGGTTCTTTCTTCGTTTTTTTTTTCAATCTTCCTTTCGCTTCGTGCCGTCCAATTTGCAAGAGTTAATGTCGTGTTGCGCAGAGGTTGCTATTTGCCCGAACAACAATGAGATTCAAGTGCACAAGCGCACTTCATCCGGCTGGAAGCTGCTGGAGACTATGCAGGAGCATCACATGGCCGTGATGGGAATCGACTGGGCGCCAAAGACCAATCGCATAGTCACCTGTTCCGCAGACAAGAACGCTTACGTGTGGACTCAGAAGGAGGATGGCAAGTGGGACCCAGCGTGGGTCCTTCTTCGAATAAATCGGGCTGCCACTTGCGTGAAATGGTCTCCTCTAGGTATATGGTGTCAATAGATTCAAACCTTTTCAGAGAGGTTTTCTCCTATGTAACCTTTGCTGTGTGAATTTGTCTTTACAATGAGATAATGTTTATAAACGAAAGTCTTCCTTGCAGAGAACAAATTTGCTGTGGGTTCTGGAGGACGAGTTATAGCTGTTTGTTATTTTGTATTAGAGAATAACTGGTGGTTATGTAAACATATAAAGCGTCCTTTAAGGTCAACGGTGACCACTGTCGATTGGCATCCAGACAATAAGGTTCTGGTCGCTGGATCTACGGACTACAAGGTTCGGGTCTTCAGTGGATTTATCAGTGACATGGAGGATGCGCCTGGCATCAGCCCCTGGGGCCAAAGTAATTCCTTAGGGACATTACTGGCTGAGTTTCCTAATACACCCAATGGAGGTATAGCTGTTGTATGAAGAGTTCAACTGTAGAGAACTTTAAGAATTTCGAGAATTAAGAGTTCTTAGAATAATTCTTAAAATTCTCCGAATAATTCTTAAAATTCTTCGAATAATTCTGGGTACAACTGAAAATTTTAAGCCAACACTTTTACGTTCAGGTGGCTGGATACATTCAGTAGCGTTCAGTCCTTGTGGCAATAAAATCTGTTGGGTGGCGCACAACTCGTCTATATGTGTCGCTGATGCTACTAAAGGAAACGCGGTCGTGAGACTGTATACAGAGCATTTACCGTTTCTAAGTTGCATTTGGATAGGATCTAATAACATTGTTGTTTCGGTAATCGACGGATTGCCTCTTGAAATTGACGAATTGCCTGCGAGACCAACACTATTGTACTAACGAAAGGAAACCTTGTCTCTCTCTTTCTGTCTCTCAGGGTCATAGCTGTATGCCGATGTTGTACTCCGTGGACGACAACGGGCAGATATATTTTGTGTCGAAGCTGGACAACACGCAGAAGAAGGAGACCGCCGGTTTATCCGCCATGCGAAAGTTCCAATCTCTGGATCGACAAGCCAGAAATGAGACTAATGATAACGCGCTGGACAGCGTGCACCAAAACACGATCAACTGTATTCGCCGAGTATCCGATCATGAATTTAGCACAAGCAGTTTAGACGGGCAACTTGTAGTTTGGGACTTAAAGGTAATTTACGTCGTGTATATTATGCCGTGCTACCCTATGACGATGATGTTCTAATCGATCCTTCTTTTCTTTTTTCATCAAGCTTCTAGAGAATTCCATTGCTGGTCTCAAGGTAGCGTAAGCATAAAACTTTTTTTATATTGCGAAAATCAGAGATATTACATCCAATACAACGATGTATAAATGTTAAAATAAATACTATACAATTTCTCATTATATAATCGATCGCATCGCTAAGTGTCTTCCGCATGACGCCACGATCCACTGTCGTAAAGGAAATCGTCTTATATCCTCCGCGCTAAGAGAGTAAAATATCCGATAACGTGCTCTTGCAAAAAAGGTAACGTTAGCTGACGTCGCTCGGACGTCATCGGTGGATACAAAGTATCCTAGGAGTATGTGTGTGTCAATATATGTATCTTCTAATTTTAAACAGCAAACTGATGGAAATTTTCTTTAGAATGTAAGGTGATAAAACAAGGGACAAGACAATCGTCGCGGTCGCAGAAATATTCGAGAGCGTCAGTTTACAAAAATATCGTACCTTTTATTACACGACGTTGGTTCAGAGTGACTATTTTACCGACATTTTATTTCGCTCAATCGATTATATAAATGCATCGCAAAACGAACGGAAATCAAGCGAAAATTCACGCATCATAAATTTTTAACGAAAGCGAATTTTCTTTTAATTTTCAGTTAATCTATCGAAAGAAATAGGCACGTGTGAGGATGGAAAGAGAAATTCTGAAAATTTCAAATAATTTCCCATATTTAATCTGGAAGGATAGGAATTCGATAAATCGCTCTAGGAAATTTTTTACACGTTGGAATTCATCATTCGTGTCTATTCGAGTACTCTTCAGAAATCACATATTTATTTATCTTTATCTTTATCTCCATTCTCACGTAAAAAAATATTGCAAATAAATAAAAACTTTTGTAGCCGCAAAATATATCTCGTTTCCTCGTGTGATCGTGCCGACGATGACCCGATTTTTAAGACCCCGAGTATCGGGGGAGAGTGATCGGCTCGAAGGATAAAGCTAAAAGACACGTAGGACCAGGCGGGCTGTGCTGTCGAGCAGTTCAGCCGTTGACAGGCGTAAGTGGCTAGCACGCGCCTGGAAAGTAGGCTCCGGCTTGGCGGGTGGGGGCGGCGGGTGAAGAGCGGCAGCCGAACAAGTTCAGCGGTGATATCGATTCAGTCTCGCGCAAACCACCCCTCATGTGCTGCCGTGGCCGCTGCAGCGGCAGCAGCGCGCTCGAAGCTCCACTTTGTCATGCCCGCCGCCGCCGCCGCCGTCGCCGCCGCCGCCGCCGAGGATACGTAAACAGAAACGTACGGAGACGCGAGGAGTGCCGTTGAGTACGGCGTGTAGTGAGCTCTGCCATCTTCGCCGAGGAACTGCCGCGATCGGTGATCATTCCGCGTCGTGTCGCATCAGCAGCCCCCGGAAATCCCGTCGTGACGGGACATCGTGACGGCCGTGCCGATCGCGATTATTGATTCTCGCCTGGCGTGTTTCGTCGCTTTTTTCTTCTTCCTTTCTGGAGCCTCGATAGGATTATCGCACGCGGCGACGCAACGCGCCGAGCAACGAGAGAGTAAGAGCAAGAGGAGAGAAAATAGGGAGAAGAAGAAAATAGCGGCGTGAAGATCGCGCGCGCCAACCCCTCGTCCACCCCGTCCACCCATCCAGCCTTGGCCACCCTCGGGAGCGCGTCGTGCGAGCGGGAAGCGCCGACGAGTACCGCCTCCGCCGCCGCCGCCGCCGTCGCCGGCGCGCGGCGTTATTCGCTCGAGGGAGGCTCGATCTAGTCGCTCCGCATCCGCCATCATCGCGGCCGCCGGCCGTCGAATATGACGCGGCCCCATCGCCCGCATATTCAACTGTGCTACTCTTGACTACGAATCGACGCGGCCAATCGAGACACGGTGACACGAAGTGCGTGTGCCACATCGAGACATGTCTTCGATATCAGCGCAGGGCGTCGTCGAGCGTGCCAGCGCCGAATTGACCAAGCGAATCAACGGTCTGGGGTTGCGGACATCCAAACATCATGGTCGGTGGTGAACCGTTTCTCCGCTTCGTATTCTTGTCCTCCTTCTCCTCCGCCTACTTGTCGTAGCTGTTTCTACCTACTTTCTTTCTATCACCCTCCGTTCGCGTCCTCGTCTCTTTGTGCACCTGCAACGCTCTACTACCACCCTCCAACGTCACTACCACCACTACCACCACTACTACTACCATCATATCCCCCCTGCTCATAGTAACGTGCGTAACACAACAGTCTCGTGTGCCTCGCGTTAAATCCGCGTATGGTTACGCCGCTTCGATTTTTTCCCCCGCCGTCGGGGCCGCAAAGACGAGGGGAAATCGGCCGCACGGATCGGTGTCAAGTTTATCTTCCGCTCGGACGACGGTAGAGGATAAAAGCGGACGCGAAGGGTTTACCATCGCGCCGACCCTCGGGGATTTTCTCACGCTGAAGGCGCGGAACGTACGACGAGCCGAGTCGAGCCAACGCCAACCCTTCGATAGCCTCGGGCCTTACGTCGTTACGTAATCGCGACAGAGGATTGATTTGAAGGCCCGCGTGACTCGTCGTGCGCCATCATCCCCGTTAATCCATGGGAAATCCGTCGGCGACACGCGCGGTGAGAAAGCTCCCGCGCGCTTATTAGCCCGCGCGCGCGACATTACCTTATAATTTATTTAAATGACACCGCTCTACGTGACTCTCGTCGCAATCTTAACTGCAACGGAATCGATAGCAACCGTCCTTGTGCACGCGAAAATAACGGCGACACGCGGCCTAACGTGGCGCAGCGAGGCGCTTGGGCTACGTTCTATCCGAGTGCGCGCTATCAATCCTATCGCGTCATTCTACCTTTGTCGCCCTTTGGACATAACAAGGGTGACGTGTTGGAGCGTTAAATCACGCCGATAGCGCGATCCCCGATCCAGTCCTTAGAGGACTGTGTCTCGCGGTTCTCGCCTGGGCTATTTAAGCCACCACGGCCGGTGTCCCATGATCCATTCGGCCCGACGCGGAAGTCCCGTCCTGGAAGTCGCGGACGAGGCCTATTCCGATCGAGTGCGCGCTGCTCCGATTCGCGTCATCCGTTTTCCTTTTGGCGTCAACGCGCGCCACGTCGTCGCGATTGATCGCCGCTCTCGGCGGCTTAAAGACGCGCTGAGACCGCGTTTGCGTTTCGATGCGCAAATAGGAAATCTCCACGGCTGGACGCCAGCCAGCAGCGGCTGGCCACGGCGGTTAAATCGCGCCGAATGTGGCCGCAGAGATCGGACAGGGTCCGGGCACGGACGGAAAAAGGACAGAGCTTTGTGTGTAATACTTAATATCGACAAAAGAATTCTTTAAGGGGAGCCTGGGCATTTGATGCTGGTCGCTCAGAGGGAAAATTCAGGACCGGTTTTTCCAATCTCTTAGGATCGGTTGTTCCAAATTCTTCAAGTTAACTGACAGTTAAATTATATCTGTTTTTGTTTTTCCTTCAATTTAGATAAAGACAGACATATTTAACTATCAGTTAATTTACCAAGAAGTTGGAACGGTCCTCAGTAAACTAAAACTACACGGTTAAATTGCGTGTCTGTTTTGGTCTAATTTGAAAGAAAATTAAAGACAGGTATATAATTTAACTGTTAGTTAGCATACTAAGGTAGTTAGCGTACTAAAGGTCAATTGTTCCAACCTCTTAGTAAGCTACCTGATAAATCATATGTCTTTCAATTTGAAGAAAAATCGAAAACATACATGATTTAATTGTCAGGTAACTTACCAAGAGGTTGGAACAATTGGCCCTAAGAGATTAGAAACATCGGCCCTTCTCTTAGAGTCGATTGTTCCAATCTCTTAGTAAGCTACTTAACAATTAAATATGTCTGTCTTCGTTTTTTCTTCAAATTGGACCGAAACCGATATATAATTTAACTGTTAGGTAGCTTACCAAAAAGTTTGAACAATGGATGGCTCTTAGTTGTTTGCGTCTATCCTAGTAAAACAGTTCATTGGAGTAATATTGGCTACAAACTGGGCCGCAATATATCCAATATTGATCCAATATTACAAAATAGATGCCTTACATTTTATAACCAATATAGAATTCCGAATACTAGCAATTTATTTGTTACCAATATTGGCTACGTACTGGATTGTATTGGTTCGATGTCTCTTTAATGTATGCCAATATCATGTTGTGCAATATTGGCCATTTATTCACATTTTATTTATAACCAATATCGGCTATATACTGGTTATATTGGCCCACTATATACCGAATGTAACGCCAATGATATGCTATTAGGATAGTGATGGTCAAGGATGTTCGAATAAAAATCAAGTTTGCGGGATCTTATCGCAAAAAATCATGTATATGGGATGAATGCAATTCTTCTCTCGATTAATCTCACGTAGGGAGAGGGGAAAAACGTTGCTGAAAATGGGCATTTCTTTAAAATAAGCGATAGATTTTTGTTATTTTTGAAGATTTATTAATCAAATGCATTAATAGTTTCTTTTAACATTAAAAAATAAAACGAATCGTCTTCTGAACTTCTTTTTATTGATAAAAATGTCTCTAAATATACTTATAGCTAATTAAAAGATCTTATAGAGCTAATCTTATAGATCACATTTAAAGATATTTTTATCAATCAAAAAGAGAGTTCATAATAAAGACCAGTGGCTCTAAGTAAGGAAACTAATAATAATACCTGGCATATAAAAGCTAATCATCATTATTATAACGTTAAAAATTATTGCAAAAACTTAGTTCTTTTCATATATATGAAAGTATTTTTCAACGAAATGTTCATTTTTAACCACGTTTTCTCTGCGCGAGATTTATCGAAAGAAGAATTACACTCATCGCACATAAATTATTTTTTAATAAGATATCACAAATTTAACTTTTGCTCGAATATTCCTTTAGCCATTATCTGATTTCCTTTAGCATTAAAATATAAAATAGCTTTGAGTAAGGAAATTAGCAATAATCTATTTAGCATATGAGAGCAAATTGCCGCCCAGTAACCAACTACAACACCAACTAACAGTAACGCTACATCAATATTATAATCTCCCACTCAACAATATAACTGTCGCATAATATACGCATTATATTACATTTACTTTGTTGAATGGAAAATTATAACTAACAGTAATGTAATTGTTACTTGGTGTTTGGGGAGTATTTTTTATCCATATATTTTCCCTCTCTTTCCATAAAGTTAAAAATATGTTTTATATATATGGAAAAAACTAAATTTTTTAAATAAATTATAACTCCCTTCTTGGCACATAAAGGTCCCTTACGAAAAAATAGTACTGGAGCTCAGTATAGTTGAATTTAGTAGTACTTTGAGTATTTATATCTCAGTATTTTCCTGTACTTAAATACTGATACATAAGTACTCAAAGTACTACTAAATTCGACCATACTGAGCTCCAGTATTATTTTTTCGTAAGGGGTCTGAAGTAAAATGCATATAATAAGTTAGAACGCAATAACGATGGTTGTGTGGTTTCTATATATGCCACATATTGTTATTATTGATTTCCTTTAAGTAAGGAGATGCAGAACTTACAGGTATTGTGAAAAGGATTACGAGTACATTGAAGTACATAAATCCTACTAAACAAAGATGTGTACCTATATATACACTTTTTTTTAATATAGTTCACTTTTTACTAAGTAATTTTTACGCATGTCATTCCTTGGACTTCGAATGTTCTAAATCAGCCAAATTTGCAGTAAATTGGCCGCCGAGCCAAATCAGATTACACATCTAGAATCGATGGAAGTTTACAGCAAATTTCTATTATTTTCCAAAGTTTGTTCACGACAACTTTCCAAAGTTGTCTATGTGTGTTAAAGAGCATCGCGTTTCTTATGAAGACACGTTACAAATCAGAGATCGCACAGAGATGCAAATGCTAAAGACACGTAGGCTCAAAGGCCTAGGTTCGGGTGCATTGGTATATCGGATGCTCGACTGGCTTTATCGCAACTCGCATTGATAAGACATACATTAGATAAGTTTAATGCATATGGTCGCTAAAAATAAAAATAATTTGTAAGATAAATGGCAAACAGGAAATAGCGGTGTACCGCAAGCCAAATGAGACATAGAGGTGGGAAATGAAACGAGAATGTCCAGTAGCCTTAAGTAATTCATCGTTTCAGATTTCCCTAAAGTCGCGAGGAATTACAGTACGAATATGCTAATGGCGTCTATTCGGCACAGACCGGTTACCGGGAAATTTCCTCTTCGGGCTCGGCCGATGAGTTATTGTCTCACATCGCCATGTATCTCGCGACAGAAGTATGCCAGGCACGTGTCCCGGGAAAGTCGCTCACTTAGACCGCCTGGTTATTGCAATCGTGCCTTCCTTCCAACCATATTTCCAGTCCTGTCGACCCTTCTCTCTTCGTTTCAAATTTCTATAAATCCCCGGCCGCTTTGTGTATAACTTAACGGTTTCGCAGCAGTTTGCCTGGCCGGAAATTTCTATAAAACTTGCTAGATCCTTCCTTTCAAGCTCCACGTATACATGTTTACCTCCAACTGCGCCAATCCCCTTCAGTTTCGTTTCTACCTTCGCCTCCGGAGTTTCCTCGAACATCCTCTTATTTTCATGCGTCTCCTCGATTTCAAATAATTCGGACTCATCTCGCAGACCTGGCGATTGCACTTCTCAATTGGCCATTCACTTTCCAGGCGGCGGCAAGACTAGCGTTATGGAGCGCGTGACGAATGTCTTTTGCGGCAGCGGCAGTGTCGCTTACATGAATTTGCAAAGTGCGAATAATGCGAATGCAACGCCCGAGAAGCCCAGCCGGAGCGCCGCGCAGACCATCAACAATATGCCAGCGAGTAACAACAAGAGCCTGAACAATGTCACCCCGAGCAGAGGTAGGATACCTAGGAACAGGATGAAGAACGTGCCCTTAGCCAGCGGCGGCACGGGCGGCTACGTCCCGCCTGCCACGTGGGAACAGCTGATGCAGGACGAGAACTTCCTTGGCCGATTTTTCCTTTACTTCAACGCCACGGAAAGAAGGATCTTGGCTCAGGTGCGCGCACACCGATGACGAAATCGGCCCGTCCGGCTTCCAAAGCGTAAACACGCATCGTGCAGACGGAGTTACTGCTCTAACGGAAGTGGAGCTTTTCTTAGACTTTCGCCGCTTAACGCGTTGACACCTATACGAACATAGATCGCACGGAGAAATGTTGCATCTCAGATTGCATCCTGAAGATGCGTCTTAAATTTTCTTGAATCGCCTGGCACGTTGGCAATTTAACACGCTGATTTTCACTAATTATTCCGATTCTCTCTGCTCAACTTTAAGTCGCTAAAGATGCGGTTAACGCCATTAAACGTCATTTTCGACGCATATATCCGTTTCATTGGCTCCCTATCGGTTATGCATTTAATTTGATAGACGTTAGTTGGTTACACAATTAATTATACGGCTCTAACATAACAAATAGCAAGAAGTCAAGCGGCTAATAAAAACCTTTGAGATAAACGCTTGATCAAATGTCGCATTACCGCAGGTCTGCACAAAATGGAGAGACGTTCTGTACGCAAGACCGCGTCTCTGGACGGGGTTGGTGCCGGTGGTGAGATGCCGCGAGGCCCGCGCGATGCAGCCCAACTCCCGCACCCGGCTCTATGCTTCCTTAGTAAGAAGAGGTTTCCACTCGTTAGTCCTCCTGGGCGCAGCGGATGAAGATATCCCGGAATTAACGCACGGTTTTCCCTTGGCACAGCGATACGTGCACTCCTTGTCGTTGCGCTGTTGCGCGGTGACCGACAGGGGCCTGGAGGCTCTCTTGGATCACTTGCAGGTAAATCCATTATGATTCATCCTCGCGCTCGCCACAGTGTGGCCCTCCGAATCGACTCGACGTGTGTGTTTACCGCGGATTTGCATTCATACGGTAAATCACGGTTAAACGGAGTCGGAAATCTGATTCGTTCCAGTTGTCGCGTATTTCACGTCGCGGTTTTGATCATATATCCCTGCTTGAGATTATTACAGGAATATACACGATAAAAATATTTTAGTAAAAATTATTGTAGTTTTTACTTATTAAATAAATTGTGGTACACAACTTTTTTACGTTAAAATTATATTTTTTTACAATGTTTTTTATACAGCTGAAAAATTGTATAAATTATACCATAGAAATATATATAATGAATGTAACGCATCTGATACAACATATAAAAAATATGAAATAATTCAAATAATTATAATTTTGTAATAAAAAGTCACAAACGTGCATAACTATATTTTTAAACAAATATATAAATATTGTCGTAATTTCGATCATAATTCTGTATGATGGAAAATTTAAAAAATTTTGTTGTTATTTTTACTGCAATATTTTCTCCGTGTACTGTTAAATTATAAGTTAAACGCATAAAGGAATATAGTACTTTTGACAATTGAGAAAAGAATATTTTTTTACAAATTTTTAGACAAATTTAGGTGATCAATAAATTAGATGCGCTAAAGAGATCCCTTTTTGAGTTTCAAATTATCTTCCAAATTTATTGAAAAACAATTGTACTTACTCTAAAAAATTATATCAAATTCACACAAGGATCCATAAAAAAGTTCTTACGTAAATAACGATAACCTAAATAACGATATTATTACAGCGATACTACTAAGCAACTTATTTCGTGGTATATATAGACCGTGTTCCCCGACCAATAACGCGAATAATAACGCGAGTACACGCACACGAAAGGCCAATAATAATATATGAATGCTCTCCGTTTGTTAGGCAGCTTTTATTCCAGCACAAAAAGCCCCATTTCATTCGGGCGGAAGTAGCTGTTTCATTCGAGCCGCGTACAATTCGCGAACCGAAGGCTAAAAGCTCGTTAACGAGATCGATACAAATCGACACGGAGGACTCTCAATTTGCTATTATTTTTAGGCTTTGTACGAGCTTGAACTGGCCGGTTGCAACGAGATAACGGAAGCCGGTTTGTGGGCTTGCCTCACCCCCAGAATAGTGTCGTTGTCTCTATCGGATTGCATCAACGTCGCTGACGAGGCGGTCGGCGCGGTCGCCCAGCTATTGCCGAGCCTTTACGAATTCTCCCTGCAGGCTTATCACGTCACCGATGCTGCGCTTGGTTACTTCAGTGCCAAACAGAGTAGCGCGCTTAGTATTCTGAGACTCCAGTCCTGCTGGGAGCTCACGAATCACGGTGTAGTAAATATTGGTGAGCGTCCCTGTATATTGATTCCCGTATATATACACACACCTCAGTTATCATTATATCTTTTTTCTCTCACGTAAAAAAATTTAGCTTTCACATTTTTATTTTATTTAATTCGCATGATATTTATACGTATAATTTGATTTATGTGTGCTACTCTTTTAATTTCATTAATTGCATATTGTATGAGGGAGAGAAAAGCAATCGAGAAACGCACCGAATCAGCAGTCATATTCCATTGTCGCCGTAATTTATAGCGAGCTGTGTACTGTTATTGAATTATGATTACACGAGGGAAATGGAATTATTACTCGTAGAATACACGGGCTACTTGCCAATATTAAGTTTCGATCGGGACTCTGTGAACGGCAAAGCTAAGCGAGATGTACAATAGTGATAGGCTGAAATTACGACAGGTATACATGCATACGTGCTTGGGATTAAATTTAGAATTAAGGAACACAGCTTTATTTAGCTTTCAAGCTGTCACCGGTAGTTCAGAGTCGAGTTGTATAACGAGCATGCTGTAAGGTAAGCGTGTGCAATTCGCGAACAACGACCCGATAGCATTATTTAGACGGGAAATGTCGCGAATATTTCGATAGTAAGATTCTTTGTATCTCACGTATTTGCATTCTTTTCGGAACTTATCCGGGCTGATTATGCTTATAAAATAATTAGAATGAAAAATTAAGTCAATGTGATGAGTATTTGAACTATTCGCGTCCGCTTCAAAAATATTATATTTCTGCGCAAATTTGACAAATCAGTTTATGGGTATCTTTTTCTAGCTCGCGAGAATCAATCATATTATTTAATTCCAGATATTATATATATGTTATTTGATTTGTTGTTTGTGATACAGGTTTGTTTTATGATACAGGTTAACGTCTTTCTTGTATTATATGTAATCTATGGATGTTAATGTCTCCGTCTCTTTGTTTTAGTACATTCCTTGCCCAATCTGACTGTGCTATCGCTCTCTGGATGCAGTAAAGTAACGGATGACGGCGTTGAATTAATCGCGGAAAACTTGCCAAGACTTCGTTCCTTAGATCTGAGCTGGTGCTCAAGGATTACAGATGCAGCCTTAGAATATATTGCCTGTGATTTGAATAACTTAGAAGAACTCACATTAGATAGGTAAGTGAAATATTGGAATATAATATCTCAAAATTACAATTTAGCAGCAAGCGTTTAGTATATCTAAATAGATTGCGTTCGCATAAGATTGTACTCGCATAAGATGTAGAGAGATGTCACGTTCCAACATCTCGTGGACAAATATTTGTTCTACCGTATCGACGAGTCGAGCCATCTTGTAGAAGTAGATTCATATCCTTCATCTCCAGAAATATTATCTTCATCTAAATGAAGACAAAGTATCTAAATGAAGACAAAAAACCACATAGCTCTTGAAATGTATCCTCTAAGGATTTTTTAGTTATCTAACGACGACAAATATTTACTCGAACATTCTATTTGAGATGCACGAGTTACGTAATGCTCTGCTGACTCATATGTCACAAAGTGTCAGAAAGTCACGATGCAGCTAGAGGCGCAATTACTTTTAGCCAAACGGCTATTCGCCGTGACATTAAATCTACGCGCCTTGTCTGCTATGTTGTATTTCTGACACGCCTAGCATAATTTATGATATCGCATTCATGTCTCACATGTCGCGTAATTTCGCAGATGTGTACACATCACGGATATTGGCGTCGGTTACATTTCCACGATGGTCTCACTGAGCGCCTTGTTTTTGAGATGGTGTTCGCAACTTAGGGATTTTGGACTTCAACATCTGTGTGTCATGAGATCTCTGCAGGTGTTGTCTCTGGCAGGTAAGGTCGCATACCGTCTGAATAGTTTACGCAAACTTCCTTGCGCGCAGTAAAACGTTACGAATTACACGATAAAATCAAATTCCAGAACTTTGATCTAAACTGAAAATCTATTAAACGATAGAACAAACCTCTTTTACTCTTTTCCTACTGGAAGTAAACATGCTACCGTCAACAAAATCTCTATACTCTAAGGAAAAAAAGTTGTCTTTGACTTCTCAATATCATAAATAGAAATAATTAAATTATTCGATATAAAAACATATACTAAGTGACATTCAATTTTCTGCAGGTTGCCCGTTGCTCACAAGTGGAGGTTTATCTAGTCTGATACAGCTTCGACACTTACACGAGTTAGAACTAACTAATTGCCCAGGAACGTCGCGAGAACTGTTTGACTATTTGCGTGAACATCTGCCGCGTTGCCTAATCATCGAATAAACGATGTTTAATTGAGAATATAATATCGGCAAAATGAAATCCCTTTATACTCGAACAGATGTCAGACGAAGAGCGTTGAACTTGCGAGCGAGTAGACTTCGACTCCAGGATTTCGAACGCGGGAAGCAATATTTCGGACGAGCGGAACGCCGTACAGATAAAAAGCAATTGACGTCCAGATAACGAAAGAAAGAACACTATGTTTTCCTCGTAATGGTCTAAGGAAACACTAGCCCTCGAACGTGCAAGATAATACAATTAATAACGCATAGACATTTTTAATACACACTAACGTCCCGTGCACTTCCGTTCGTATTTTTTCATTCTGCCACGCGATCACGTCGAGACGGGCGAACGAACGATGCAGAAAGAAGACTCTCACGGCCCGTTGTAATGATCTTGTACAGAGAATTGAATTCAATATTGTACATTAGAAAAGAGATTGATAGCGCGTGCATCAGAAAAAAGCGATTGATGACTTGTGAGGTCCTTCTTTTTGCCTCCTAATAGTGTAGAGAGAGAGTCCGAGTAAGCATACAGCAAGAAACTCACAACAGTTAGAACTGTGATAAATTTATATTGTACGTAATTCTAATTGGTTCTCGCGTATACGTGTTTAAATGTCGTCGGCACTGCATTCGGCGGGCACGACGAGGTCGTACGGAGCAATTGAGAGCAGATTGATCAGGCTGTCACATTCGCCAGCTGTACGAACATGTAGCCGATTGCGATTCGATTCAGCGATCGTCGTCTCTGCCGCGTGTGCGCGTCGATCGACGCGCGCATTGTCCAATTATTTGCGATTCTAGCTGCAACACACTACGCATGTTGCTTGAAAGAAAGTACTTAGCGGGTATCGATTACACGAACAGAAGCTAACATTCCAAACCACATTACTCAGCACCTTACTCATGAACACATGATTCGTGTTGTTTGTTTGACGATGCATATTGTAGGCGGGAACGCGTTTCAATTGTCGCATCCACGGTGTGTGGTAACATCGTCATTCATGTGTTATCTTTATATAGTATATCCTCGTGCAATCAGTGTTCTCTAAATTTAGAACTTTTCGCTAGCTCTATATTCTTTGTGGTTTTCCTGATTAAGTATATGCATATATATAAATATATAAATAAATATATATATAAATATATATAATTAATGTAACATAATTAGAAGAAATATTTCGCGTGTTTCAAGGATAATGATAATTTTAATAATTTATTACGTCATTGGTATGTCGTATTATGCCTTATCGGTACTGGCATATTAAATCGAATAAGTATCAACGTACTATTGTTTACGACTTTTGAAAAAAAACAACAAACGCATCGTATTAATCGATTTAATCGAGCGTTTGAGTTTCGCGTTACGTGAGGTCAAGAACAATTGGATGCCAAAAAGAAATGTGTCTTTCTTAAGTTCGTCAACAGCATGCAAGAAACTCACTCGTAATTTACGAGATGCGATACAATACACACATTGTGCGCCGTTCATTATAGTGACACCCATCCTTGATATAATTTCGGCCAGAATGCCGTATCTCTTAAGTGATATATTGACAATTATGGTTGTAGCCCTTATTTGTTATTCTGTTAAACTCAATTCAGAGATAGTCAGTCTCTTTCTCAAAGCAATTCGATATTCACGAGCAGATATAATTTCTACGTGTTGTCACATGTTTAGCACATATAACACCTTTGTATATATTGTACAAATTATATATGATAATTCTGTTATCAATCAAAACCGAGCGTAAATATATCCGCACAGGCGAAGTTGTATTGGAGAGTGGAGTCACATTGTGAGATACTACGATCACAGATGCAACATTTAATGACGACACACGATAATATGATGGAATGTGCTGTGAAATAAAAATTTATTGACCAAACTATATCGTACTTTAATAATATGCCTATTTTAACATTTACATTAAAAAATCAAGTTCATGAATTTTCCCACCAAGAAAGTACACCTAAACCTGGTTCGTCAATCGATCCCTACGAAATATATCAATATTTAGATATGTATGGTATGTAAATAAAACATTTCATATTAATTCTTTAAAGTCTAGACATTAATTAAATTCGAGCAAAATTTTTTTCATTCAATAATCTTAACAGATTAAGCTTTTGATAGAATTTTGCAGTCCGAATAAAATTGATTGTCGAAAAATTTGATTTTCTAAATATATATAATTATGTACATTTATGTTTACATGTGTGCCTCAGCTGCAGAATTTCACAAATTTTATAACCGTTAATTTTGTAATAAATACAAAACTAACTTTGTGATTGAAGATGACATCCATAAATAATTGAAGAAATAAAATTTGCTTACTTTTTTTCGTGAAAAACTTTACACTTTAATTTGAAGCGTCGACGATTTCGCTTTGTACACGATCGTCATATGATTTCTTCAGCGAGAAAATCACTGTTTCATGGATTAGGACGAAGAATATAGCTCTTTGCCGATATAAAAGGTCCAGGAAGGATTCAAAGTGAATATACATAATTATATGCATTGGGTCTTAAAGTTAATTAATATGATGAAGTACTCAGTTTTACTTACATGTAAAATATATGGTGGGGTTTTATTAGTTTCTTGTTTCTCAGCTGCATCAGGTGGCTTGGGTAATTCCTCTGTAAAGAACTCATCCACTATCCTGAATCTTATCAATTCATCTGAAATATTATAATGTAATTTTATTATTTTTTTTCAAACTAACATCATAATCTTAGTTTAGTGCGCGTGTATGAGAGACATGCCTGCATCCATAAATAAATCATGTATTTCTCCATCAGCAGTCTTATATTCCCATACCCATACTTGATCCATTTGATCAAAACGCGATGGGTGTTGCAACTTATGGGGTGGTATGATTATATCTTCAAAGAACCCTAATGTGACTGTAATAGAACAGAATATTGTACAATGTGGCTAACAAAATTATGTTAAATCAAGGTAGTTATACCGCTAGATGCTGTTATTTATTTAGCACATCAAGGGGACCATATAAATTTACTATTTATTAAACACAAAATTGTTTCTACATACTTCACTATCTAAATATTACTGTTAATTTGAAACAAAATTGAGATAAATAAATAAATAAATAAATAAATAAATATATATATATATATATATATATATATGCAATGTTACAAATACAAACTATTATTTTTTATTTTTTTAATGAATACTTCATTTATGCATCAGTTTATTCAATAGAGACAAATAATAAAAGAGATATATAAGTATTTAAATATATATGTATCTGTATGCATTTTGAATATTACTATAAATTACTATAAACTTTCTACTACAGTACTTTAAAAACAAAATGACCAACAAATCTGAAATATGTGTACAATCTGTATATTAGTTTTTAATATTATAATAGTTTTTTATCAAAATCTGATGTATAGTGTAAAAGATATCAAGAATAGAAATAAAGAATAACACGCTAGTTTCAAGAAACACATACAAAAAGTACCAACTTTAATTGCAAATATCTCAGCTCTTGAATGGTTAATCTTCTCTTAATTATACAAATAATTAGAGAATATTTTATTGAGTATGTAGTATAAGTTTCATAAAATTCTTATCATTTTATTTCATGATATAACTACCTTGAATGATGTAATCAAACTCTTACCATATATACCGTCAATGCTACAACTACGAATTTTGCCTATTAATATTTCCTCCATGAATGGACGGAAAACAACAAAACGAAATGACACACTTGTGTGTGAAGCTCCGTCTCCTGGGAAGATGTGTGATTCTTCAATTTTTGTGATATCATATAGAATAATGCAAAGACCTACATTTATGTAAACCTGCATAATAATACTTATTATAATTTATTTTTATTATTTTTTATAATACTTATTATAATTTTATTGACAAGAGTAAGTATATTTTTGTTTATTTGTGTTATACATGGCAACTGGAAAATTTAAAACTATCATCTAATATATAATTTTTGTTAAAATATACATTTTAATTATTGCCAACTACTTACCTTGTTAACGAGCTTTCTGTTCAATTCTTCAGCGATCATATCGTTTAATTTTTGTTTAAAGTTGGATGGCGGTGTTCTCACCGTGTCTTTTAAATCAGCAAGTATAAACATTGTGCCTGTTTTAACCTTTTAATTTAATATAGGTTCTATCAGAGAAGTTCTATCCTTAAACGATAAAATTCAAAGTGGTTAATAAAATGTAATTTCAAAACATATAAAATTGAGAATCGTTAAAATATATACTTTTATCTAAAATACTTTATATTTCTTATGTTTCTTATGTTTAAAAATATACGAATTTTTGCATATAACTTACAAGCATAAACAACACTTCACCTGTTCTTTTGAGCTGCACAAGGCTGCGTTCAAATTTCACATCCGAATGTATTCTACTAGAAGTGCTATAGTATATGTAACATATACTATAGTGTTTCTAGTATAATAGAGTGCACCCGGATGAAGAATCTGAACGCACCCCTGCTGAACCAGTGCTGCGAATTCGGGTAACTTTTGGTGTATTTGCTTTGGGCGCTTTGCGCCGTAAGCGTCATTCTGTCTTTTTCCCGCAGGTAATGAGCGATAAAGATAAAATGACGCTTAAGCGCGTAAACGCCCAAAGCGAACGCAACAAAAGTTACCCGACTCACAGCATTGTGCTGAACTGATGCAATGGCTTGGTTTACATTATACACTTGATATGCGTACTAAGGTCGGTATTCATAGTCAAATCTTATATTTAAGACCATCTTAAGTTTATCTTCAGATGATAAACGGATCATTTCATTGGCTACGAAGTATCTGAAGATGAACTTAAGCCAGCCTTAAAAATAAAATCCGACTATGAATATCAGCCTAAATAGTAACTTTCTATTAGATAATCTTAGGCCGGTATTCATAGTCAGATCTTATATTTAAGATTGCTTAAGTTCATCTTCAGATACTCCGTAGCCAATGAAATAACCCGTACATCATCTGAAGATAAACTTAAGCGGTCTTAAATATAAGGCTGCGTTCAGATTCCCCATCCGGGTGTATTCTATTACTAGAGTGCTATAGTATATGTCACATATACTATAGTGTTTCTAGTAATAGAGTGCACCCGGATGAGGAATCTGAACGCACCCTAAGATCGGACTATGAATATCGGCCTTAATATCGATGATATATACAGGGTCCCGCGTAAGACGGACCAAAAGAAAAATATAAGTAGAACACATTAAAGTGAACAAAAATTATATAGGCCATTTTTCAAACAACCAGAAGCTAATATACCAGAGTAATATACCATTGTTTATATATATCGTCGATATTAAGATTATCTAATAGAAAATTACTATTTAGTACGCGTATCAAGTGCACGATGTAAACCAAGCCTATGGCATTCAATTAATACAATACGTCTTGTTGATTTGGCGTGGCCGCTCTCAAGTTTCTCTTTGATACGGGCTTTGCGAAAAGTGTGTGTGTCCAGCTTAAGGAACGATAAAGATAGAAGAACGCGGTAGCGTTGGTAGCGTGTTCTTCGAACGCACTCCGAGTTGGGCTTGAAACCATAGAAAGAGAGAGAGAGAGAGAGAGAGAGAGAGAGAGAGAAGGACTGTATACCAATTCGGAAGGAAGGAAGGATAGAGAGAGAGAAACCTAACCTAAAATTGTTGTAAAGGAGTGAGCACGTGTAGTACTTGCGATGGATATTATTCAAGCAATATTAGAAGACAAAAAAGTAGAATCTGATCCAAATAAATCTACTAAAGTCCACAAAGATGTGGATCTCGATATTGATGTGGGAACTCTACTTGCGTCTGATTACAATAATTTGGACATAAAAACTCTTAGGTAAACTAACCTGTTTTTGTACATATGTTCTAATTACTCTCTGTTGAATTGATTTTACAAATTTATAACGGATTGGTTTATTTATTCTCTCTTTTATACAGGTCAAATCCAAATTCGTATTTAAAAAACTTGACGAGAGATAATGTGCAATTGCTGATCAATAAAATCTGGGAGCTTCCAGTAGAAAGAGTGGATGAGGCTATAGTAGCTAAATTGCCTAAACCTGAGTATGTATTACCACGTTCGCGTGCCATCCCGAAGCCCAAATTATTAACAAAATGGCAGCAATTTGCTAAGGAGAAGGGAATACAGACTAAGAAGAAGGGTAGGTCTAAGTTGAAATGGGATGAAGAATTGAAGGTAATGCCTATGTTTGTAATTACTCTGTGATATTTAACGATAAAGTTATTTACATAAAAGAAGTCTCAATGAGACTTGATCTTTTTTTCTTCTGTTTCAAGAAATGGGTTCCTACATATGGTTATAAACGAGCAAAGACTCAGGAACAGAAAGAATGGTTGATAGAAGCCAAACAGGATGCTAATCCAAATGATGATCCATTTGCCAAGGCTAAAGAAGCTAAGCAGGAGAAGCAGTCGAAAAATGAATTGCAGAGACTTCGTAACATAGCTAGGTCTAAAAACATAAAATTACCAAAAGTTGGTCTTCCTACTAGAGAATACTTCCCAGACTCGCAACATCTCTCTGAAGCTCTGACTGTAGCACGCATGTCGACAGCGTCTGTGGGAAAATTCCAGCCTAGGTATATTTCTCATATTTTATCACTAGTATTCTTGGATGTTTTATAAAACTAATTTGTGCAATTTGACGATTTTTTCTGCAGACTACCAAAAGAGAAAGATGCAAAAGGAGTTGCTAAGGAGGTACCAGGAATGAAAAGAAAACTGAAAGCACCTCCATTGAGTGCTGTTGATGAAAAACGTCAAAACAAAGGATTGATAGATAACATTTTGAAGAGTAAAATAAAAGTTCTCCGTGATGATTATTTAACAGGCAGTGCAGAGTAAGTTTCACTTGTATAGATTTCATAATATGAAATATTATGGGGATGCTGAAGCTGAAAACTTTATTGACAGAATACTGACATTTTTCTGCAAAGTTTACATCGTATTAGTTTCACAGAATTACAAATCCTTTTATGCAATAAAAATATGTGCGAAAATAAATAGGAACATTGCTTGATATGTGACGAAAACGAGCAAAAAATGTTTAATGTAAGATCTCAAGCTATCACTTAAAGTAATATTTGCCTAACCCAAAAGTTCCGCAGCTTGTACATACCGAAAGTATGGATGCTTCAAACAAAAAAATTTTGAAGAACATTGCTCTACCTTCGCATCTATATTTGAAAGCTTAAGAATATCGAAAAAGTTTGCAGAAAGATTTTTACACATATATGGTTAGGTTCTGCGTTGAATATGGTAAAAGCAACATACATTCAAGTAAATTCTATATATTCAAGAAATACAAAAAGAATAGCATGATTATATTAGTGACAATCGTCTCAGCATTATCGACATTGTTCGAGCTCGTCATCGACTTCAGCATCCCCTTAACACAATATGAAATATCTATTAATATATTTTTGTGCTATTAGAATAAAGGAAACTACAACGAGTGACAGAAAGAAAAAGAAAGCTGGTAAACCAAAACGCAGTAAAAACGCTAAGAAGCCGAAAGCGGGAAGAGGCAAACGTGATTTGCATACGAAAGTTGGTGGCAGGAAACGACGATAAATAAAATATTTGTATAATGTATCTCTGTATATTAAAGGGAATTAGATTTAATTAAGAGTGAATTTTATTGCGTATAAAAATGTTTATCTCATCGTGTATCGTAATAAGTTCTATAATTGATCTGGCGCATTCAGTTACATTATAGTTCAATATAAAATAAAGGTTTTGATTTAGCTACTCATAATTTTTTATATTGAAAAAACAACGAACCAATTGTTTGTGTTTTCAATCAATCCTTCTGTTTTTTATAAAAAAGACCTAAATATTTTTAATTTTTCCTTTCCAGATACTTTAAATTTAACAACAGATTCTTAAACCTTTATTCTTTGGTAATATCGTTATTTTTGTCACAGTTATAATCCATTGAATTTTATATGTTGTTATGATAGATTAAAATGCGTCTGACATGCCGTCGAGTCATATTACTTGGAAGTGAAAAAGCCTTTTACCTTGCTTTGCATTGAATGAGTTAAAAGTAAAAAGAATCTTTTTGATTTAGTCTGCTACTAGGATTTTATTTGAAAAAGCAGAACACTAACTCAGAAAGACGAAAAAAACATTCTGCTGATAATATTTACGATTTTTCTTATTTTACATTGTAAGCAGGCTGCAATGATTTTAATATTGATGAATTATTTTAACTTTTTATTATACCAAAAAAACTTAATAAAATTAATTATTTTTTAAAATTAACTGCTAGTTTAAGTTAAAAGTTGTTAACTTTTTAATTTAACTAATTAATTATTTAGATTGCATTCCAAAACATTCTTTTTGAGGAAAATTTTACTCAATATCTATAGTTCACGTTACATATACTATAGAGTATCGAATAAAATTTCCTCAAAAAGGACGTTTTGGAACGCAACCTTAATATTTAAAATATTGTAATATCCAGAAAAAAAGTATATATATATATATATATATATATATATATATATATATATATATATAAATAAAGATACCTCTCTGACTTATCGTTGAGTCATACTACTTGAAAACAAAAATTTTCTAATTTGCGTCGAATTGGAAAAGAATTCTCAGTCTAAGGTTTTACCGAATCTAAAAATATCGAGTAGATAATTATTCGTTCTCTTAACAAAGAGAACGAAGGAATCAGACATCGATTCCTCGAACGTCGCCCATCCCTAATGATTATTGCGCATGAATGTGTTTGTGAAATGTGACGTGTGTCTAATTCAGCGTCGTTGTCAGAGGCATGTGCAGAATTTATTCGGTCGATTTTGACGATATTTAAGCGAAGTACAATTAAACGCAATGGGGAAGGATGTTGAGATTAGTGGTAGACGTTAAATCGTAGTAGAACGTCCAGCGGACAGAACATAATATCCGAAGAGATCGCTGCGGAAGTGTTGGAAAGACTAAAGTTGTAGGTTGTAGGTTACGTGCTGTTCACACCATGGCACAGTCAACAACAAGCGGAACCTCCTCGCGACGATATATGAGGGAACACGATGTGCCATCCACGTCGCGGTACGTGGACAGCGAATGGGAGTCTAAAGAGGTAATTCCTTCGAATCGTATTTTCTGTTGTGTCATATTTCTGCCACAATTAGATCATGATGCCATGTGCTATTAGTTGCACCATATTTATTTTACATCATATCTGAACAAACAGGCCTTACGACAGAGAGAACTGGAGGAGGCAAGGGCGCGTGCAGCACAGATGGAGAAGACAATGCGATGGTGGTCAGATTGTACTGCTAATTGGCGTGAAAAGTGGAGCAAAGTTCGAAATGAGAGGAACATGGCCAGAGAAGAGGTGAAAGTTCTTAGAGCAAAGTTAGAAATTGCAGTGAAGGATGCTAACACCTTCAAGCACGATTCTCAGGAGATGGAGCTACAAAATGAACAGCTGAAGAAGGAAATGGAAAAGATACATATGGTACTCCTAAAACATGCTGGACAATTTGACCAACAGATCTTCACTGTCTTAGAATCAGACCCTCAACTGAGAACGACCTTTGGATTGGATGAACAACTGGAGTTTTATAATAATGTCGAGTCCAGTGATATGTTAAGTGTTCAAAAGGATTTGATATCCTGCAAAAATCCCCATGAAGCTTCGAGCGTTGCTTCAAGCAGTCATAACATCTTGCCAGGCAGAGTTATCGAGGAATATGTCTTGCAAGGTGCGGTGCCAAAGCATGCTGTAGAATTGTACAAGGAGAGCTCTAGCAAGTCGTTAGATAAAAGCATCACTAAACTAGTCGGAGATAATAGTACCATGAAGGATATATTGGAGAAACAGCAGTTGCCATTGAATGTGTATAATGAAGAATCGTTAAGCCAGAAAATGTCAGCATTACAACTCAAATTGGAGGAGGCAACGAAAACCATTTGTATGGAAAGAGAGTAAGTTTTGTTAACAAGTTAACCCTTACAATTCTGGAAGCCACTATAGTGGTGAGGCAGCAAATTTGTGAAATACAACTAAAATTATTATTGTTATCCATTTTTTTCATACAAATTAGCAAAAAATTTAAAAAAATATAAAAACAATCTTTTACATAAAAATCTACAAAAATTGACAAAAAATAAATATATATTTTATACCAATATACACATACATACTAATAACATGCTTTGAAATTTATGCAAATAATAATAGACATTTTGTTTTATATATTGATTTTTTGTTATTATCATATACAGAAGATATCTAACGATTTGATAACTCAATCTATACATGCACACAAGTGTTCTTTACCCTCCCTTACTCCCATCAGACATATTGCATATTTTTACATAATTTTGCCAAAAATAAACTTATATTATCTAATAATTCTTGATACAAAAAGAAAGTTTCTGTATGATTAAATAAGAAAAAATATCTATTTGAGAAAATCATTATGCGATCCGGGAAATTACTATATTAGCCTAGCGGCGGTGTTATGTTTTTTAGTATATCCTTTGACATATAGAAAAAACTTCAGAGACTGTAAAAATCACCCAAAAACCGTTCGGATTGTAAGGGTTAATATATAAATATAACTTTTTATATCAGATACACATATAATGATAGACATTAAATATATTCATCTAAAGATTATTGTAGTGTTTATTGGCTCAGTAGAATTTATTTTATTTCTTTTTTATTAGAGAAAAAAATTCTTTACATCATACTGTGGAGAAATTGAAAGCCGAGGTTAAACAATTGCGAGAACAGTGCAAAGAATTGCACGAAAGTAGAGCCGACGCAGTGAGAGAATTATTGGAGTTAAAAGAGCGTTTCCAGGTCGAATTTGGTGACGCACAGGCTGATTTTATGGATGATATGACTAACGGAGAGGGCATGAATCGTCGTTTAAGCGAATTAAGAGCTGAGGTAAGTTCACTATATTAATTGTACTGATTCACTATGCTGTATTGATTTACCTTACTAATGCTGTACTAATTAATGCTGTATAAACTTCCATTTGTACCCACAATTAGTAAAAAAAAAAAATTCTAATTCGAGATTTGTTAAAAAATACAATTTGTTTTTTAATTTCTACATTTTATTGTACATTATATAATATTATTTAATAGAGACATTTCTTTATTTAAAAAAAAATTAGCTGGAGAAGCTTCAAACTGAAAATTCAGTAGAGTGGGGTAAACGAGAGAGATTGGAGACTGAGAAGATTTCTCTGACACGAGAAAACAAACAGCTACGGCTCAAGATACACGATTTGCAAGAAAGAATAGAATCGCGACGGCCACGTCCGTCATCTACGGCTGATGCTGACACGAGGCAACTGCAACAAGAACTTCTAGTTCGTAATATGGTTCGTATCACAACTACATTGAATTAAGTGCACTATTGAGTTTGCTATTACAACTTCGCGATAATTGCAGGTATTACATGAAGTGAAGCAGAATCAGGCGGTACTAAAGCAATCTTTGGCGGAGAAAACGACGGAATTGTTGCACGCGATGAGGCGATACGAACAATATGAGACGGAAGTGAAGCGAGTGAGATGTAGAGTCGAGGAGTTGAAGAAAGATCTGGCCGTTGCTCAGGACGAGGTCGATTCTGCCACGAACAGCATACGAAAGTTACAACGGGCGAATGAGGATCTCTTGGAACAACTGGAATCGGCAAATGTGCAACTGGAACACTTTAGAAACAGGTGAGGAGGCTAATCAATCGAAAAATCCCACCCATATTTATAATCTTCTACAGTGGATCTGAAGAGAAACGTTTTATTAGCAATAGTGAGTCGTGTACAGCGGATGCTGGAATAGAACAAGTAGAGGAAGAAAAGTTCCAAGCTAACAATTCCGATGAATCCGCTGAGGGTATGTTACTAATTTAGTCGATGCGCTTAAGTGTTAGCTATTGAATGATGAACCAGCGATAACTAATAGTTTCTGAATTACGTCAATATTCAATTTGTAATTGTGTTTAATTCGGATGATATTAGTGCTTCTAAATTTAATCTTAAAAATTGTCTGATATAAAATGTAAAGAAAAAAAGGAAATTTTATCTACTGTTTCAGTCCACGGTAAACAAAAAGCCTAGTATTGTGTGGATGGCAACGACGTGTTTGATCCAGATAAACGAAAATGCAAATCAAATAGGTGATATATTAGCGGGCCTAAGGTACGGAATTTAATGGACGATTTTATTTTTTAATGTTTGATTCTTCAATAGATGTAATGCTTCGGCATTTAAATAATCAAATTGTACTCGTAGTACGATCGTCGTGAGTGCCTATTGTGGTATTTAACAACTAATTTAAAACATCAGTACTTCCAATAGCATGTATGTACATGTGTATAGACAATTGACAGTATACATTGACGTAAGATACAATTTTAATTACTTGTCGATCGATAAAGCTTCGTCTACATCTATTGTAGTGTCATTCGTAATCGGCTGTAATATTCATCGTAGCGATCATCGGATGCTGCCATAAAATTGACTATGTTCAACAAAGAAATCTACTTTGTAACTGTTGTAAAATTTGGCGAATCTGATTGGCGTATGCTCTTAAGTTTGGTTGAATCTAAGAGCATATACTAATCAGATTCACGAATTTTACGGCAATTGTAAAGCAGCTTCTTTTGCTGCGCAGGCAAGAACATTAATGGGCTTTCTACAATAAGCCATTAGTTGTAACACATAACGTATAAAGCATAAGAAAATTTGCCAATTGCAGTCTTTCAGAATAAAAATGAAGAATTCTGATTGGTAGATTTTCTTATGTTTTATATGTTATGCGTTATGTGTTACGTTATGTGTTGACTAACGGCTTATTGTAGAAAGCCCATAATTCAACATCAACTTTTACGATCTACGATACTGATTTTGTAACGATGCGCTTCTTTCCTTACAATTATATTATTCCTTTCCTTACAACTATATTACCGACATTATAATAAATGTAGGCATACCTTTGAATTGACAAGTCATCACCATCGACGTAAGAATACATATAGACGTTAATATATATTCACGTACAATATTACACGATGCATTATTTACTAATATCACGTTTTAATCCACTTTATGATACATATTAAGAGCATTTAAAAATAATCTCCTTTTTTTATTGACTAATTTTGGATCAGTCGCGTTTCGGGATATTGCATATCTATCAATATTTCGCAAAAGTTATATCTTAGGATATTGTTGCGAGATCCGGATTTAACTTTTCAGAATTATAACTTTTCAGAATATTATTCCACTTTTCGTATTTTGATATTTTGTATATCTACTTTTTAGAACTTTGACATTTGTAGAAAAAAGATAAATTATAATATTTTCGAGTACTAATATGAAAAAGAGTCTTTACATCGATTTTAATAAAACTTAATACAGATATATTTTCTTCAGTTATACTTTCTATATTTTATCTTTCTCTTACTTGATCTCAAAATTAAATATTTTATCTAAACGTTTTCTTTAAACGTAGAAAGTGTATAGCTGAAAAATTAAATAGATATTTTATGTATTTTGATGTTCAATTCAAATATTAAGATTGGAGCTGCTGTTTTCCATCGTGAAAGAAGTAATAAAATCTTAAAGTAGTCCTAGTAAAAGCACCGTCTATATTTTTCTTATGTCAGTGGTCGTGTAGCATTTATTGTTTATTATACTCAGTTGTATACTCTCAAACGTGAAATTGTGTTCATTTTCATCATTATACTTTCTGTAGATATTCATTTCATATCATCACTCATGTATTTTTTACTTTTATAAATTATAAACACACATTTCTCTTTCATTTTTCATCGACGCGCTTTTTGTAAACAGCTCATATTTCGCGTTTATTGTTTTATATGTCTTCTTTTTTTAGACTGGTGTAAAGATATTGTATATATGCACGAAATATATATTATATTATGAAACCATATTTCGTCACTCCAAGAAAGACTGGTAAAATCGAGTAGCGAAACGCAGTATGTACAAGATATGATACCTGATATTTATAACTGAATTATAACTTTTATGTCAATATCGAGAATCTATATAGAGCGTACGTAAAATAGAACAATAATCTATCTACGCGCGTGTCCGCAAATATACTATGCGGATACTATAACGTGAATAGAGAATATCCGAATAAATTTTCATAAATATCTACGACAGATCGAATATTATTATGAATTATTTTTCCTAATTAACAAGGAGAAAGGATGAAAAGAGAAATCCTGCTTCTAGGTAAAGTGTATTTTATTGACGGAAACTTAATAAATAGCAGCGATTGATGTAGCAACATTGTTCACAGTCAATAATTTTCAAAGTACTTCAATAAAAAAATTATAATGTCAAAGTATATATAACACATACGGTGAATCTTCGATATTATGGATCTGGAAGTTCGCAAACTATCCGATTATCGATCCATAAAATCGAGGCTTTCCGTCGAATTTACTTCATCATGCTCACATACATAGGAGTGGTGGTAAGCTGCCGAGGAGTGGAATGTATCGTTTGAATATACAGGTAGAATGAGTTACCATGCCAAGTGCAATGCGCGCAAAAGCAATTAATTGTTTCTACACTTAAGCAGGCCACGTATAACGAGCGACAACGAAACGATTCCAAACGAGATGCTTTGCGGAAGCGATTATGCAGAAATAATGATCGACGCGTGCTCTCTTGTGTGGGCACTTCAACGGCTCAACATCTCATAGGCGTGCCGTCGGGATATGTCGGTGCTTTCGGCTTGCAGATTTTCGTCCTGCCGTTAGAGCCATATACGACGTTGCAGGAGAACGTAAAATATCCGCAGGTGGAACTCTTGGTGTAGTAACGATGCTCGTATTGTTTCTGCGCGTTACTGCCGTTCATCTTGCCGGCAACGCTATTACTCACAGTGTAGTAACTCGGCTTTATAGCTATGGAAGTAGGGACAGGTCTCGTGCGTCTGTCAGAAATTGCACCTTGGCCAAAAGATGGACTAGCTTGACTCTTACTACTCGACGTATGACGGTCGACATGACGTTCGTGATTAGTCTGAAGCGATCTGACCTCCGTGGCTGACGGCTTAGTGCTGGTAGAATTTTTCGGTACCAGAGACACGGTCTGCGACTGTGACTTGCCATCTCCCTGGGCGATAGTCTCGGTACCCGAGATTGACATCACTCTACCGCGGAATCCAGGCGGTACCGTGTATCCCATCAAGGATTGTCCTGGCTGTAGGACGTTGCTCGTTCGAGGTGAGTTTGAATCTTGGTTAACGTGAATGTCGTACCGATCCCCTTTGATCACATGCATCACTTGTGTCTGTTGATTTTGTCGTTGAGCCGTTTTGACTTTATCGCGCTGATGTGTGAAGGCTTTCGCGCCATTACTCATCGGGTTTGTCGTCGTCGTGGTCAATGTGGTCGTCGTCGCTGTGGTATCGTAATACTCGTCCGCGTAATCGTTGTCATATTCGTCATACATCGGGTCATCTGTTCGCGATTTCTCCGTAGCCAATACTTTTTTGTTCTCTGGAGGATCCTCTGGATTGTTCTTGCTGCCTATGACGACGGTCTGTCTCGAGGTCGAGCTGCTTTGTAGACCCTGTTCGCGATTCTGCCTATCTTCGTAATCTGCAGTTGGACTTGTTGGGCTTGATTGAGCATTACCGACGTTCGTCAGTTTTCTCGAAGGATTTTGTGGCTTGAAGGGTTTAAAAAGCTCCGTCTCAGTCATATTGAAGCTGAAAGGTTTTCGGGAAGACGCGGCGCCGGACCCGGAACCAGCCTGCGCCGCACCGGTGTAAGTAATTCCGTATTGAAAAGAACCTTGCAATTGCGACTGAGACTGGCCCCTGTGAGTACCGCTCTGAGCCGATGCTGTTCCACTGCCACGAAACAGCGAGTCATGTTCCTCTGGCTTCTCATCGGTTTTTAAGTATGGTTGGAACCCAATTTGTGCCTGACTAGACGTGCTACCTTCGCCATTAGCCTGAGCGTCTGCCATTCCGCCCTTGGAACTTGCCTGCACCTGAGAATTAGTACCGTGATTCCAGCCGCTACTCTGAGCACCTGTCGAAGTAGCTCCGGAATCCGAGTTCAGCTGAACTTGCGCTTGACTTTTCCCATAACCACCTACGCCTTGCGCATTGCTGGTGGCACCTTCTTTACCACCACTGACCTCTGTCTGGGCACCTTTGTTTGCATCACTGGTGCCGGCCTGGGCGGAAAAAGAGCCAGAGCCGCTGTAAGTGCCCGTCACTTGTGACTGAGCCGTGCCCTGACCATATCTGCCCTGAGCTGAAGCACTCGCTTGTGTATCCGAGCCTTCTTGCTGTACAGAACTTGAGGCTTGCGACTCGGCATTGTCATCTGCCACACCCGTTGGTCTACCAGCTCCAATTTGCGTGTAAGTTCCATCAATCCCGGTTTCACTTACTCCTGGATATGGCGCACCTATTACTTGACCGCCGATTCTGCTCGGATATTGACCAGGATACTGTTCAGTGACTCCTGTTCTTCCGATTGTCGGTTGACCTCCCGTTGTACTGATGGGATACTGAATTCCTCCTGGTACGACTGTTCTTCCTGGAACGGCTGTTCCTGGAATTCCTACACTTGTTCCTGGATAAAGCTGGCCTGGATATGTTTGTCTACCATCACCGGGGAAAATTTGTTGACCGGGATATAAGGTACCACTGGGAGGTATAACTTGCTGTGTGCCACTGGGATATATAACTTGACCTGCGGGATAGGTACCTGTACTTGGATATGTAGTGATTTGGGTGCCACCTGTTCCATCAGGAATCCTACCAGGTTGAATGACACTTCCAGGAGCCGGATAAATCGCTTGACCGTCTATTGGTCGACCGCCTGGATAACTTATTACTTGCGTGCCACCATCAGCTATTGAACCTGTAGTCGGGACCATGCCAGGAACTAAACCTCCAGGTCCTACTGGATAAGTTGTAACTCCTCCAGGATAAGGCGCGCCAGTTTGCTGCACGCCACTAGGATAAACTCCTTGACCTACTACTGTTCCTGGGACACCACCAGGATATGTTCCTGATACAGTTCCAGGTTGAACACTGGGAATACCAGTTCCGGGATAAGTTTCTACTCTCCCGATTGGTAAGGTGGCTCCTGGATATATTCCACCTGGCTGACCTGTTCCAGGTGTAATACCACTTGGATAAGTTCCAGTACCAATAATCGTAGCACCCGTCGTTACTGAGGTGATAACACCACCAGAAGGATAGGTAACTTGTCCTGGTTGAATACCAGGTTGAATGCTTCCTGGGTACGTTCCAACGCCTGTTCCAATGCCGGTTGTCGTAGTACCAGGTAAAACTCCTCCAGGTTGAATACCTCCGGGATATGTTCCCGGTCCTCCTGTGATTAAAGTCCCCGGTGGATATTTCCCGTCACCACTTGGTATCACTACTCCAGGGCGAACAGCTGGATATATTCCATCACCACCTGGTGTCACTACTCCGGGACGAACACCTCCTGGGTATATTCCATCACCACCTGGTGTCACTACTCCGGGACGAACACCTCCTGGGTATATTCCATCGCCACCTGGTGTCACTACTCCAGGGCGAACACCTCCTGGGTATGTTCCATCGCCACCTGGTGTCACTACCCCAGGACGAACACCTCCTGGGTACGTTCCATCGCCACCTGGTGTCACTACCCCGGGACGAACACCTCCTGGGTATGTTCTATCGCCACCTGGTATCATTATTCCAGGGCGAACACCTCCTGGGTATGTTCCATCGCCACCTGGTGTAACTACTCCGGGACGAACACCTCCTGGATATGTTCCATCGCCACTAGGTGTTACAGTTCCAGGTTGGATAACTCCAGGCTGAACACCTCCAGGATATGTTCCATCTCCAGTTGGTGTTATGAT